CGCCCCGTCCGCCATTGTCTTTGGAACAGCTACGGAAAAAAAAAAAAAAAAAAAAAAAAAAAGAGGAATGGATTCGTCACCGTTACTCACTCGCGTCGTTTTTTATTACGCAACCGCGACGAAACCGTGGAAGGTAGAATTAATTTCGTTCGTTCGGTTGTTTCGTTCGAAATTCCCTTCGAAATTCTCTTTCACGCGAGATTTTTCTTTTGCAATTTCGTTTTTAAACCGAGCGCGACTGAACACTTCCTACGCCGTCCAATGATTGCAATGGTTATCGACAGAGAATATTGCGGAGGAAAAGAAGGAAGGAAAAAAAAAAAAAAAGAAAAAAAAAATGCATGCAAGTGTGGGTAGATTGCACAATTGTTTTACGAAGCATGAATTTATCGTGTGGCAAAAAGAAGAAGCGTAAATGCGGTCGGAGAGGTGCTCGTAATTTATGTTATCGAATGGGAAGAGGCGATAACTGGTTTCAAGCTTTGAGTAATGACCGTGAAACCGTGATGGGGATAAAAAGAAGCTTGAAGCAGAGAGAGACGTAGAATCGAGGATAGGCCAATCAAAGGAGGGTATCGGACGATTGTAAAAATAATATCAGAATTTAAGGAACGAGGTCAGTTCTTGTTGTTCTCTCGTTGTTCAATCAATCTCGGATTTTATTTCCGTATAAATCGTGTAACAGAATAATTCGAAGACAACGTGATAAATAACGATTTATAATTGCGACTCTATCGCTTCGCAACTTCATCAATCTTTTGCGAGAAAAGATTTTATTACGTTACTTCTCGTTGATTAAAAAAAAAAAAAAAAAAAAACGAGAAATAAAATAATAGAAGATTACGTCTTATCTATCACCTATTAAAAGAGAGTACAATATAAGAGTATTAATCTCGGCGATAATAAATTTTTTTTCTCTGAATTGAAAATATAAAAATTGGCGAGAGATACGGATATGAAAGATTTGCCGTGCAGATTGCACAGAGAGACTTTTCGATTAATCGAACAGCTCGACTCTTCACCGTTCTCGCATACGTAATCAGGAGTTCTTTGTCTCGTTTGGCTTTTTTCGATGCCGCCAGGGTTCTTCAACCTTCTGGCAATTCCCTCGAAATCGAAGAGGGGTGAGTCGACCACGTCTAGACGCGGCAAAACCGACGACCCTTTTCTCGAAGGACGAAGGGAGCGATGATACCGATTTCTCCGCTCGAGAAATCACTCATCGAGATAAATATTTCACTTGAAAAATTCTTCAATTCTCTGAATTAAGATTTTGAGAGAGAATCATCCTCGAAAAGTTATTATTTCTTATTAGAGGATATTATCTTTGAGGATGGCGATTATCCCTCGACGAGTTTTTGTTTATTGGCAGAAAAAGCAATTCCAAGATCGTATTCTTCAATGTGAGAAACAATGTTAAGTTGTTAATAGCTACGTTCAAGAATGGCAATTAACCTCGAATGTTCGCTTTCAACACCAATATCCATTAGCGAAAGTAACTGGTATTCATATCTTAATTTACGCTTCGAAATCGGACGCGTAGACTGTTCCAACGTATAATTCCAATTCGTATTTCAACAATATACGAGAAATAAAGTTGTTGGAAAGCTAAAGAATATTCAAATGTTCGATGCAATTTATTCTCTTTTTCGCGGCGCGCAGACACCTATGCGGTATCTTCCTGGTGACTGGATGCGCCAAGGAAATAAGAAAAATCTCAATTTCCAGTCTCGAATCTCTGTTGGAGGAGCAGAAGAGCTTGTCGACGCGTGACGTAGGAAGATTTATAGGATTGCTTCTCGAGACAGTTCGCAATCGTTACCCTTTTCAGCCTCTGCGACTGATTGTACATATATATATATATATATATATATATACATATTCGGATTCGAGTGTATCCAGAAAACCTTCGCATCGCATAAAAGAGAATATCCTGTTTATTGCTGTTCCTCGCTTGGTTCTTAATGGAAAATAGGAAACTTAAAAATCGGAGGTTGAAATTTGGGATCCGTTGTTCTTCCTTTCGTTACTCGAAATAAGAATCGTAGACAATTGGGATTCGGCAGGAAGCGAATAAAGCAAATAACTTTGGAGGAGAATAAAGGAGAAGAGGAGGCAGTTTCTTTCACGGCAGGTAGAAACGCTTTTAGATTTTTAGATTTTAGTAGAGAGTGTTTTATAGCATCGGGCGTGCGTGTTTAGAGGCGTATTGATTGGCGGGTATCTTAACGAGCTAATTGGTAATGGGCTATGATGGGAACAGAAGACGGTCTCTTCCCGATCAATGATCCCCTTCATCGAGCGTGTAAACACGAACGATTATAGAAGAAAATTTGCACTTTACGTGCAAATAATGCATCCGGCCGCTCGGTGATAAGCTCGTATTCCCATTTGAGAGAGGGAGTCGCGTTGCGAGATTCTTCGAGCGATTTTCGTAACGCTTTGCCCTCGTTTTCCGAACGATTCGCCTATTCAGGATTATAGCGAGCAAGCGTTTGCTCGGCAGTTGCTTTTTTTCTTTTCATGCTTTGATTGGTTTAAAAAAATACCTTACCTCCGACAATTTATTCTCACGCATGACACGTGATACGTAATTCCATTCAGATTCTATCGCGAACAATATCATTATTTAAGATTTTTGGAGAATCATTTTGCTGCGATGAAGACATCACTAGGAAGCGATCGATAAGAAAAGAAAAATGCAAGAAAGGAGACGATAAAAAAGGGAGGAAGGATATAGGCAACAAAAAGGAAGGAACAAGTTTAGAGGCCTTGTGAAAAAAGTAAACAGGCCGTGAAACGGCAAGTGGTTGAAATTAATTCCCGCTCGTTTTCTTTTCCTCGATTCTAATTACTTATCCGAGTAATTTCGCAAAAGAAAAAAAAAAAAAAAAAAAAAAAAAGAAAAGGAGAACAAAAAAAAAAGGAAAGAAATTCTTTTCCCTGCCTGTTAGATTTCGCGAAAAGCTTCCGGTTCGCGGTGTAAAATGAAAGGGAAACGCGAGCGCGTGGTCGCCTTTGTGCCATTTGCTGCTTTCAATTCGCACGGAGAGGGGAGGGGAACGGGAATAAAACAACAGCTAGCTAGCTAGCTAGCGGATCCTTTGCATTTTTTTATATCCGTTGCCAGCTGATAATTCCACGCTTTCCACGTATCCGGTTAAAAAACTGGAAACGCCTGTTAAATCGTGGGACATTTATTGCCCCTGAAAATACGTGCTTTCCCGTTAATGAAACGATCGTGGATACGCATACGTTCCCGATTCACGGCCTTGTTTATATATAAAAAAAATCGAGCTTTCTAATCCAACGATCCGCGATCACCATCGAGTTCAACTCGCGTGGTGAACTCGCTTCGCGTACGTGTTAACAAATTTTACTTCCACGCTCGATTATCATATAGTAGCCGAGAACCTGTAATTTCGCAATTTTATTTGCTCTCCTAATAGTAGCCGGATGTCGCTGATTGTGACTAATTATTTCGACAACAACGTAGACACAATTTATTTTCTACGATGCATCAGTTTCCCCAATCTGTCCGGATTTGAAGAAGAATCGTATCTCTTTTTTTTTTTTTTTTTTTATTAATCATCTCACGTCGTGTCGTTTAATTAAATTGTATCTGGCCGAGGATCGATCCTCGTTCGAACGATTTATAAATAAGAGAAAAATTGATCGAGATGATATCGCGACAAAGAGGTTATTGCTCGTCGTATACGGGATAAAATCGTTTCTATGGAAAAGAGATACCTTGAAGGAAGAGAATATTTTACGTCCGTTTTTTAATTAGCATAAAAAAAAAAAAAATCGTCTTAGTTAATAGAATTAGTAAGGTAGGCAACCCTGGAAGCCGTGTAATTCTGTTAATGCGTTTTACACACGCGTTTCAACCTTTTTAAATTTCACGCTTCGTTGTCCTATACGTGCAAAAGTTAATGCGCACTTCACGTTATCCCCCGTATATATACTTTGCCTCGTCTTCTCGTCGGGGAATTCGATCGAGCATAAAGCTCGATATGTATACATATATATATATATATACATATTTTTGCGTGTTCATTAAAAAAAGCCCCATATCTATAAAAAGAGCTTGCCCTTATCGAATCGTAAATCGTCGACAAATGGGTGTTAATCCGTCATACGACAATGCGACGTATCGGAATGTAATACAATAAACCGACAATGGAGGCGAAACGTTTCCCCCCCTCTTATCTTACGCAGAAGTCGTGCATAAAAGTTCCCAGTACCTTTTTTATTATCGATATCTAGAAACAACGTCGTTCGATCCTTCCTCCGAGTCACGTCTGTGCTCGAGGACACCGATATCTTCGCTTCGAACTAATGTAAGCTATATGAGTAATTCCATCTGCAATATCCGGCATGCGAATAATGATAATTGATAGTCGTTTGGTTACATATAATAAGAGTTACTCGAAGTTTGTTGCTCTATAATAAAGTCTCGAAATAAAATCTTCCACGAAACGAATTGAAGATTCACGAGTTATTTCGTAATCCATCGTTGCCATCGCGTTTTCAAAAGAAACTCGCTCTCGTCCACTTTCTCTCTTTTCTCTCTCTCTCTCTCTCTCTCTCTCTCTCTCTCTTTCTCCATTGTCTTCGATCAATTTGGACAATTCCCAAAGATCGAATTATTGGAAACGCGGGAAGGTCGATAATTAAATTAAAAGGAGAGTTTGAATTTTAGTTTGATTAGGGAAAATTCTATTATATAATAGGAAACGGGGAATTAGAAAACGTGCAATTTTGCCGGAACGATTCTCGGCAGCTTGTTTACTCCGTGGTGGATAATAGTGGCGCCAACAGGCCGATGTTTTCTCAGCTGGACCAGCACGGTGCATTCACACCGTGCTGCACCAGAAGCGCATCGCCCTTTCCCTCAGCCTCCCGTGTCGCCGGTGCACGGCCTCGTAGCTTCCACGACCTCGTAGCTTCCACGACCTCAGCCTTTTTTTTATTCCGCAAGCCCTTCTCCCCCCTTCCCTTACGCTTTTGCGAAGGTCTTCACCGAGGTTCGAACGGTGTGCGCCCTCGACCAAGTCAAAACCGTTCCCGCCTCTTTGATCGCGCGATGAAAATTTCACTTTGGCTCACTTTGGTCTCTCGAGTCTCTAGAAATTGCGACCCTCTGAACCGTGCTGCTCGAACCTCCTCTCTAGCATACCGGCCGCTCTTTTTTATCATCTTTCGTTGTTTGAAAACTCATATCATTGACGAAAAAAAAGATCTCTCCGCTCGTTCTTCGAACTGGGACCCGATATATTATCTCTGGATTATTATCTCTGGAAGATATATATATATATATATATATAATCTCCTCTTCGTTTCTCGGCGATCGATCGGCTGGATTACAGCTCCGTCAATCCATCGTCGCGCTGCGAGTTTTGGAATCTGCGTTCGTCGACTTGCTTTCGTCTCTCGGTCAAGAGCTTTCCAAGATTCACGGTTTCTCTCCTGGCCAACTTATTCCCCCGGATTTGCTCGAAACGACTAATTATACGAGAAAACTCGGGCTGGTTACCAACTACTAACAGGATTCCAACTAGCGGATTATCGACTCTGTTCTCCAGACTAACTGACGACGCGATTAAGAAGCGGTATAAAGCGAGTTTTTTTTAATCGCAAGTGGATTTAGACGAGACACCGATTCGAGACGAAGATCTTCCTTTTTTTATTCCAACTTTGAGAAACGTTCTTTAATCGATCTTCCTTCGATCGATCCGGATTTATTTGTTGTTTGCTCGACACGATATCTGAACGATGGAGATTGCCTCTTAATCCTTATAGCCCGCAAGTCTCTCTCAAAGGACTTTGCCAAGGGTTGCGAACTTTTTGCGCATGACACCCGAGTACGATCACCCTCGTGGAGCCCCACAAGCTCTCTCCCTTGTACACAGACACATACGAGTCGAGGCGAGTGTTGGAGGCCGCGCTCTTCTTTATTCAAATTCCTCATCGTGGCCGCGCGAGTCGAGCCTGCTCTTCTGGCTCCAGGCAACCTTTCGCGTCATCCTGATCGCGAAAAGTCCGAAGTCGAGTGCGGTTTATAATCGTTTCCTTTGTCTCCTGGAACTACGTGTGCAGCAACAAATCGTTGGTTATTAAGTTGAGAAGTGTTTAAGAGTACAGTTTTAACAGATTGTAAAAGGTGGAAGATTTCGGAGTGGTTGTCGTCTCGTCGATCTCGATTTCTCTCGATGTCGATAATATAATTCTCAACGATAATTCGCCGAATTTTCTCGTTTATTTTCGTTGGCACGTGTTTCGCGCGCATCGATCGATCCTCGAAAAATCTTATTCTTCTTACAATCTTCTTCTTCTTCGTTCTAAACGGAACGAGAAATTTTGCAAGGAGAAGGATAATCAAACGAGGGAAACACGTTGCTGCGATTTTCGAAAAGTATAGCAAGAAGGAATCCTGAATATTCATCTCGATTTGCAAAGTTTCTCGATTTCTCGTTGAATCTATCTCGAAAAATCGATCAACGCTTGCCGAGGAAATTTTCGCGTTTTCCATGGAAGGAAAGGAGCGTGGATAGCGTGTTTCTGTGTTGGTTGGCTCGAATGCTGAAACGCTTGGAGAAAAGCGGCGAGGAAGCCAATCCGGTTGGTCGCTTTCGCCGCATATGGCGGCGGGCAAAGTTATAAATAATGCCCATCGCCCTCCTGCGTATTCACCTTTACATAATGACCGGGAGAGGACGAAATCTTGGTTCGGGTGAAAAGAAACGGGAGAAAAGCCGTGGTTACGATCGTCTTGCACGGCCTATATCTCAAACGCGATTTTCAGCCTCAGGATGAGTTTCACGTATTACTCTCGTTTGTTAATCGTAATCGACCGTTCATTATCTTTCTTACTTACTTGAGAAACTTGGCTTCGAACAATGGGATCTCGTCTCGAAAGGTTCTCCCTTTGTTGTTGTTGTGGACTTTGATAAAGTAAAAGGAGGATTCGGATGAATCAGTGGGGGAGGAGGGACAAAAGAGCGTGAATAAACTATTTTCCTTCGTGATTCACGAAGGAAAAAACAAATAAAAGTATGACGAGGCCATTTTCGTTGGAAAACGTGATCGGCACGGAGAGAGCGGCAAAGTTCGTTTCCTCGGATAAAGACGCCGCTAAAGAGAAAAGTTACAGTACCTGAACAAGGTTCGAAGCATGATACGTGGTGGTGGTGGTGGTGGTGGTGGTGAGCTTAAGATTAACGATAGCGGAGGTCGTGCGCGAATCGTTCCAGTTTTCATTCCCCCGAGAGCAGCTCTCGAAAATGTCGACGATCCTGTTGCAGTGCGTTGGAAATTGCTTCCACAGAAGGAGAATGCGCACAGGTTCGTGTTCGTGCCAGTTCCGTCGCAGGAAAATTGTTATTTTAATTTCAGTCGAATTATTATTATTATTATTCTTACTATTGCTTTCCTCCTTTGTTCAATTTTTTCTTTCTTTCTTTCTTCTTTTTCTTTCGCAAGAGAGAGGTGTAAATGAAAAAATTTGGAATTTTGTTTTTTTTTTTTTTTAGAAAGTTTTTCTTTTTATTACAACATAATTTACAATTTATGTTCCAGGTATGCACTGCCTAGGCGCGGTGACAGGAGGCATTCCCAGCCCAAATGGGGTTGGCGGTCGGGGTGGCATTCTTAGCATGTTCCGAGCCCTTGGAGTCCTAGTGTGCGAGGGGAGGATTCAGGGCCCTCCACGTGGTTACAAAGAGGGCCCACATTGTGCAGCTCCTACGCAGACGGTGCCTAACGACCATGTGTGCGAGGAAGATAATTACCTGGTAACAACAGAAACGGCTGTTGCAATCATTTTTAAAATTATTCTTTTGTTCGAACATAGAAACGAACGCGGTAAATTAACGAGGTAAATTTAAATTTGCGTAATTTTTTTACGTTTTTCTTCTTTTTTTTCCCCCCCTCCCCCCTTTCTTTCTCTCCACGCGATCGATCCGTCCAGTGCGATCGATATCTTGTGCTGGTCCGAGAGATCGCGGACCGTGTTGCAATCGGCTCGTTCCTGTGCATCGAGGTAGTGTTGTGCAGCAACTGTCCATGCGGTTTGGCGAAATGTACGAACAAGAATCCGATCTGCACCGTGCCGTCCTTATCAATTTCACCATGGCAACAAGCGTCGGAGATGCTGCTGGAGTATTGGTGTGTTTGCGTCGTTCCTAGCAAGTGAGTGTAGAAAATTTTGAGTTTTGTAAGATTATGATAAGTGCTTTTTTTCTTTTTTTTTTTTTTCTTTTTTTTTGTTGAAATGTTAAGAAAAATCTTGCGTAAAAAAGTTTTATTTACCGTTTTATGTTGTTTATTAACAATAATGGTGAATTAATGAATGGTGTTCAGGAGTCCAGAGACCATGAACTTCTACGGATTATATCAGGCAGTTCGTTCACGACTTCACTTCAGCCAAGTAGCTGCTTGGTGGTCGAGGAGCAACGGTACCGATCCCAGTTACATCGTGACGAGAATGGTGCCCTACAACGAAGACAATCTGAGAAAGTTTCGTGAAACCCCCGTCGAGCACACGTTCCCTTTGGCCGGCAACAGTGATGGAAATTCCATAAAAGTAAATCAAATTAATAAGTTATCAGTTTTTAAAATTCGTCCGGTTTACCTTAAAAGCAGGAACATTGTCATTTATTGGGATTTAACGGAATGGTTGAATTTTTTTCCATTTATATATTCGTTTCACGTTCGAAAACTTGTTATCATAAATTCGTTGAAAAAAGAAAAAGAAAAAAAAAAAAAAAAAAAAAAAAAAAAGTATTCACATTAGCTGAAAGCTCTTCACGCGAAGATAGATGCTCTTAATTGATCCAAGGATTTCCTGGCAAGCAACAGCTCGCTGGGAACGCTCGAAACGATGCGTTTCACTTGAGATAAAGGCGAGGTCAATGTTCCTCGAACTGTCCATGTAATTCGCATGGTGGTCCTCTCGTCCACGTTCTCGGAGTACCCTCCATATTCTGGTTCTATTCTGGTAGTTCGAGGACACTAACGAATGCCTACTTTTAACCAGCAGATGAGTCACCGGCTACCCAATCTCGTTCCGAGTACCGCGCACTACTGCATTTAATGGAGCTGAAGAGGATTTCTCGTGTAAATTTTAGGTCACCGTGTGGGCACTGCCGAGGATGGAGGAGGTGCCGGTTCTCACCTGCCCATTGCACCCGATCAAAGAGAAAGACGAGGAGGGTGTCGCGAGGGCTTTGACACCCACCAAGGCTATCCCGGTTCCCAGCGCTCCGCAAAATCCTGAAGGCCTTGTTTTGCCTGGTAATCAGGGCAATCTTGCAATCTTGATCGATGCGATGTGTTTCCGTGTTTCGAGTATCATCCTCACGTTTCTTTTCCTTAATTACACCACCAAGTGTATACACACATATATATATATGTAATTCACGATTAATAAATCGATGAAGTTGATACTCGAAAAATTAATTTAAAAAGGTCGAACGATAATAAATAAACAAATTTATTTATTTATTTTTTTCTTTCGAAATAGCTTTAGTGGACGACAGATTGCAGACGCCTTGCAACAAACCTGGAAAACATCATTGTCCGTGCGAGGAGGAGGACATTCCACCACCATCACCAGTGATTTCGAGACAAAACCGCGAGAGGAAACGTCGCCGATCGCTTCCCTGTGGCCCTACGGATACGAACAACTGCGTAACGATACAACCGATAGCTCTGCCCTCGGTGCAGGAAACTGTAACGCAAGAAATAAAAGATATTCAAGGTTCGAGCTATTCGAAATGCCCGTCCGAGATCGTGAACAATCGTAGCGTCAAGTCTGTGCAGAATCAGAACTGCAAGTTGGAGGAGAACGCCATCAGGAATCGTAAGAATTTGAACGCCGATAATCTAGAGCGGTGCTTCAAGACGCAATTGAACATCGACGGGCGGGAAGGAAACATGGAGAAGCGGTACAAGCGAACGATTGAAGATTCTGATTTGAAATCGAATTGCAAGGAGAAGCAGTGCAATTTGGAGAAGAAGCACAAGGAGACGGAGAAGTCTACGACAGAGAAGAATGGAATATTGGAGAATTTGATACCGTTCAATTCCTCGTTGCCATGGTCTTTCGTCGAATCTTGGAATAACAGCAATGCGAACGGGAAGTGTGCTTTTCAGAGCTTGCGCGCGAACAGGGAAAGCTATTTCAACGATTCTGAGAGAATGAACAAACCGCCAGTCAGCAAGGATTCGAGCCTCGTGATCAATCCGTTTAGGCAACCTAGTCCGTTCCACGAATCAAATCCCGGTCCTTCGACGAATAACCGACTCAAGCAAGATTCCTTCAACTCCTCTTGCACGGTGCATCAAAGCTGCGTGAAATCGTCGAACAAATTATCCAATTCCGAAGCGAATCCTGGACTGGAAGCTCTGGAGGAAGTCAACAATAGGGGGAGGTCTGGGAAGGATTTGAGCCAGTTGATATCGAAACTGTCGTTCCCCGAGGATAAGGACAAATCGAAGGAGGAGGGAGGTTTCTTGGATTGGTTCAGTAAAGTTCCTGGACGAGTTCTCGGGGTCGCGCCGACCAGTGGCTTCGTGGAGAACAAGGTGAAAGCGACAAATTTGAAGAGTCAAGAGCAACAGCACGGGAATGAAGTGAGATTTAAAAACTGCAACTTGGAGTTGAGCCAGCAGGAGTTCGACGAGGTTCTGGCTGTATTGAGGGCTCGTACACCGTCGGAGCGGAAGAGGACGAGTATCAGGACGATTAAGAAACGGGAGAAGTTGGAGAAATCCGTGGAGGATGGATCGGACAAATCGATAGGGAAATATGGAAATTTGGAGAGCATCGAGTGTTCGACCAACAACATAGCGAACCGTACGAAGGCCTGCGAGGGTTGTAACCACAAGTTGTGTAGGAAAAACGACCAACAAGCTTTAGAGAAGACCAATTTCGTTGAGATTTATGGCAATAAGAATATTTATAATCCTCAGAAACGCGAGAAACTCGAGAGCGACGAGCCGAGCGAGGATCTGCAGGCGATCAAATGCAATAATTCCGAGAAACGGACGAACGACACTATCGACTGTTTGCAAAACGTATCTAACAAAGCAGACATATTATTGGGAGCAATTTTACGAACCAGCAAAGACCGAGGGAATCTAACGGAGATTCCGAATGGGACCAAATCGAGGTCCGTGTTGGCAACGGCCATCAACGAAACGGAAAGCAATCGAAATAACGTGGCTTGTGAGAAGACGCGTCAGGAGCAGAAAACCGTGCCGTTCGAGGATGAGAAGTTCCTGCCTATGGCGCTCAACAAGAGGTTCAATCGGTTCCGACAACTCTTCAAAAAGGAGCAAGAGAAAAAAGTTCCTGCAACGACAGAGGACAATTCGCAAGACGCGAATATACAATACTTAGGCCAACGTTCGTTCTCGTACAACAACGTCCAGCCCAGCCTGCACGATCCAAAAAATTTGAGGGATAGCAAAGCGAAGAGGAGAATAGACTTCTCAAACTTCGGCGGAGAGAGAGAGGCGGAAAAGCGTGACGGAAGAGCTGATCCTTCGGAGCTTAGTACAAATGGCGCACATCAAAATTCACGAATCTATAGTACAAATTACAAAGAGGGCAGCGGCGACTACGACGAAGTCGAGGTGTCCAAACGGCAAAATAGACTGCATAGTACAAACGAGGATGACGGAGTGGCGGAGCTCGACGATGAAGAGGACGAAGAAACTGTATCGAAACTTTGCAAAGATTCTGTTCCGAATGTCGGGAAGAAAATTCGAAACTACAATCTCGGCAAAGACATCGTCACGGATGACGACGAAACGATGGACAAGGCTGTACCAACTGCCATCGAACAGGAGAGATTTCGCCGTTCCTTGGAGAACGCAGCTTCGATGGTGTTTCACAGTAGAACAGGCTTGCCCTTGACGTCCAGTCCAGCTCCGTTGAGAAGAGGCAGCTGTTGCTTCGATTATGATAGCAGTCTGAATTCTGTCTCCTCCAAGAGAAGGTATGATATCGTGTCGAAAGTCGAGGCCCTCCCCCCTCCTTTCGTTGACAACAAGCTTTTCGTTTCAGCGCTCTGTTCGAATTGAACACTCCGCCAAGTCCGGGCGCAGTGTCTTTGGAAGAGGCTGATCGAGAGGCCGAGAATGCAGGCGAAGGGGAGGAAACACCGAAGAGACGCTCGACTTCCCGCAGTAGACCGCAAAGTCACGCCCTTCTAGGCAGCTTCGAGGAATCGGCTTTGAATGGTAGACTCGAACCAGTGTCGACCGTTCACGGTTTCACGGCGGAATTGGGCGCCAGTGGTTCCTTCTGTCCGAAACATCGAAAGCTTCCAGTCACTGTGTTCTTCTATACGCTTGGTGACAATGATAAAGTTTCTACGCCCTATCTCGTATGTACATCTACGTTCCTTTTCATTTTATATATATATATATATATATATATATATTTTTTGTCTTAATTTTGCGTTTGAATAATATATATTTAAAGCGTAAGAATGAAACGATTCCTGTTTCTTTTTAGGCACATATTAATTTGGGCAAAAAGGGCTACCAAGTACCAAGAAGCGGTACTATCCAAGTAACGCTTCTCAATCCTTTGGGTACAGTCGTTAAAATGTTCGTAGTACTATACGATCTTTCTGATATGCCACCACGATCTCATACTTTTTTACGTCAGAGAACATTGCGGGACAAAACACTACGCTACCTCGTACATCTTAGGTGCGTATATCTCTGTTTCTATTAAACATATCAAATTTTATCCATTTTGTAAAGATTTTAAGATTTTAATTATTCATTATTTATAGAAATATATATATATATATTCATTAATTAAAATTTTAATGCTTTCATGATCAGTATTCGCAACGATAATCGAGGCTTTTTCGTATAAATAATCTCAAAATAAACATATATGCTGTGTGTACAAATGTACATTTTTGTCATATCAATGCAGGTATCTCGAAGCCACGATTATTAATTTTTTTTTATTTTTAAACTTTCCTTTTATTTCCGACAACTTTTTCTATTTTACATTTTTATTTTTTCATTTCTCTTTTCTACAACTGATTTTCAATTAATTAAAATTACATATAAATTTGTCCATCGATACGCAACTTAATTAAATATTTGTACGTAATAAATAAAAATAGAAATTCTGCGTTATGATGTTAAAACTAAACTGTTTCGTTTCAGATTTATGTCCGGTAAGTCAGGCCGAATTTACTTGCACACGGACATTCGTATGATTATTTGTCGCAAGTCCGATGTGGACACAGCGTCGGATTTCGGGTCAGAACCACCAAAGGAATTGCGAAGCTACATCCATGGCCCTACCAATCCGAAATTTTCGCCAAGGTGCTGAGCCACATGGCTCTTTCCATGGGGTTGCTGTCAATCACTCCGCTCGCCTAGTCCCCTTTGCGCAGAGGTTTAACAGAGATCAATTTTTTTTTTTTTTTTTTTTTTTTTTTTTATTTTTTTTGTGAAAATTCGGAGACAGGTCTTCCCTTTGGGATTCGATATTAAAAGAAAAGTATGAAAGTTGAGAGAAACGAGTAGCATTTGCAAAAAAGAATTCTGGATCTTTGTAAAAGGAAGGAAAAAAACCTTTGTGGAAATGGTCTTCTCGAGAGGAGGAAAGAAGATTGTAAAAAGAATGGTTAAATCGAGAGAAAGATTTTATAGTGAGATCATGCTTCGCAAAAAAAAAAAAAAAAAAAAAAAAAAAAAAAGTATCATCATATTTTGAGATGATTTTCGAGAAAGGGAGAAGGCAATTTAAGCAATTCTTAAAGAAAGTTTCAAAAGAAAAGATTGTTTTTTCGCGAAAAAAATATTTCAAAGATGAATAAGGAGCAAGGCATACTAAGGGGACTAATTGAATATTTGCCATTTCAGTACGAATTGTTTTGCTTATTAAACTCAAATTTATTTTCTTTCTTTTCATTTATTGATAATGTTATTTTTTTAACGCGAAAAACAAAGCGTGTGTTAAATGTTAATTTATGAAGATCGTCTTGGTTTTAATTTCGTTAATGGATCGAAATTTTTAGTTGAATTAAAGTTGATCGTTTTTCGTTGGAATTAATTTACGCGCTCCAATTGCGTCTTTGAATTTTTGGCGAAGATTGCCGCTTTGAATTTTTGTCTTTCATATTTATTGCGATAGAACATGTTCGTTCTAATCGCGTTTTTTTTTTTTTCCCAATGGAAACGAATAAAGTTTCTAATTATTCGAGTTCGTCAATTCAATTATAAGTTGGACGATCTCCTTGGAAGGCCATCTCCTCAATTTATTGTTGTAAATATAAGTCATATGTAAAGTCGAAATAAGAATTTTTTTAAAAAGGGATGATACTGTCATGTGTGTGTAGCACCATAAAGAAAAAAAGAAAAAAAAGAAAAAGAATGAAAGAAAAAAATAAGTGATACGAGCATAGAAAATATCAAGAATCGGGTCTCTCGTTGACATCAAAGGTATCCTCAAACTATTGTACAAAAGATGAACAGAGAACTATGTGATCTAGAAAATCTAGAAGTTTAAAATGTAATTTAAATAGATGCCATTTATCGATTCGTTGATATTTTTCAAGAAGAAAATTGAAAGGCGATTAGTATCGTCGTTTATTTTATTAAAAAAAAAAAGAAAAAAAAAACATTACAAGAAAGAAGAAAGAAAAGAAAGAGAAAACGTGGGGAGAGTGAGAGAGAGTGAGAGAGAGANAGAGAGAGAGAGAGAGAGAGAGAGAGAGAGAGAGAGAGAGAGAGAGAGAGAAAAGGAAGATGAAAATCTATCTTTCGTGTGAAATAATGTAGCGATCAACGAGTGGCTGGATTACGCGACTTTTCCTGCTCGAAGAAAAAGAATCATTATTTACACGTATAAACAGAACACAATTTTGTGTCCGTAGCACTGTGATGAATATTTTGATAGACTATAAAGAGTAATTATTATAAAATATCTATTTGAGTAGTGAATATGTCCTAGATTAATTAATAATTATACTAATGTCGTATGAGGAATGTAACCGAGCGTAATTACTAACCGTAAAAAAAAAAAAAAAGAAAAAAAATTACATATATCTTTCGCAATCACAAGGCGCTCATTATTGTCTCCGTATTAAATTGACGTTCGTTTTCTTTATTTTTCCACGCGCATGAGAAGAAACACTAGAAAAATTAATTTGATACGAAATTATTTTCATGTACATACGAACCGTTCGAATTTCATCTGAAGATCGACTGTCCTCCTATCCTGTTGGAAATCGAAAATTTCATCGTATTTCGTCAGATTTATTCACGACCAAATTTACTGTCCAAATAAATAAAGTACTCAATTAGGTGGATTTTCCAAGACTTTTGGTAAAATCTATTATTACACGGATTAATTTACACGGTGGAGATACGTAGACGTAACAGGCGCATTTTGTGATTTGTCAGAAGAAATTTCTTTCTAACATTGATAAGGCATGACAAGTATGTTCTATAGATAGATTGACAAATACGTTTACGTTGATCGACGCCGATCTTGAATCAATCGGGGATATTAAAATTCGATAAGGAAAGATCTGCGAACGGTCGATCATACGATCATTCGCAAGCTCGAATCAAGCAGTTTTAACGTTGCAAAATTTTTTGTAGCACGTGTATTGTACGGCAAGGAAATATAGAGTGTGTAATCACTGCCATGCTGTATATACATTGTAGCATAGATAAACCGTTGAATAACAATTTAAGGGAAATTCTAGCAATAGTTTTTTGCCTGATCGAGAGATCTTAACAGAAATTGAAAGCAAAAAGCGGGATCCGTTGAAAAATCTGTAAATCAAATACAATATTAATTTTTCTCTTTATTAATTTTCTAATATTATCATTATTTCATTGTTACAATAAAAATGTTAATTTTCTCCATAGTTTCTAACATATTTTTCCAATCTATCACGAATTCATTTTTTTTTTTCGACTGGATCTCGCTCGTGGAATGATTCGTAGAAAAATGAAATGTATATTCTGTGAATTCTAATAGCTAATATTTTCCCAGATCACTGAAAAGTCGCTTGATAGTTTTAAAAGAAAATCTCCACGATGCGTGTAATTAATTTTCATACGACAGTAATCGAACGAAATGATACGTGCAATTCATTAGCACGTTTTTTTTGGAAATTCGAGCAGATATGAGCAGGATACAAGATTGTATTTTTGGAATTTACAATCGAGGAACAACTTGTACACGAACTTATAGGACGCGCATTAAAAAAAAACTTTATTATTGTGATAAACTTTTATCAGAATAACTGGTCTGCAATTAATTTGAAATTGAATGTATTCTCTTGTTGCTGGAAAAGGGGAACGAGTTAAAATTGACGGTGCCAAATTTGAGAAAAAAAAAAAAATAAATAAATAAAAATAAAAAAATAAAAAGTGAGAAAAGATTTTGAAAGCGCTCAACGACAGAAACGTTTCGAATCGGTTCCAATAGCTTCGATTATTATTATTTTAACCAATTTTAAATCGATAAACAATGTGATTGTTTTTAATCAAAATCAATTTTGTTAATTTTATTCATTTCTTTTTTTTGTTTGAACATGTTTTAATTTCTTTTCTATTTAATTACATTTTAAAGCGTTTTTCTTTCATGTCGAATTATTATTTGTTTTTATCGTTTATTCTGCTACCGTTTTAAAAAAAAAGTTCAAGTGCAACTTGCTATAATTTGATTTGTAAATTATCATCGATTGTTCGGTTCCAGAGAGCTGGAAGAAAAAAAAAAACGAGCACCGTCCGATCAATGATAATTGTAAGTTTTACTCGCCAATTCTAATTGTAGAACGTTCTGTTAAATCCATTAATTGATGGACACCAGATATGCATAGGGTAGCGTTATTTTATAAATGAAAATAATTGTTATTGCTAAGTACTTTTTATTATTTTTAGCGAACGAAGCGTGCGGTAAGAGAGGAACATTTGTCGAAAAGCGAACTCATACTTATGGTACGCATGGCCAAACGTAATAAAACTACAGCAATGCATTACATCTGTTCTAATTCTTACTTGTTAGATTAGTAAATTCCATCGAAGCCTTGTTCTGTGCCCACATCGAACCGAATTGAATTTCTTTCAAACAACTTCAAACAACTTCAAACAACTCTTCCGTGTACACGTGGCCATTTAGTGTTCAAAGAATGAATTATAAAAGGAAAAAAGAAAAAAAAAATATTACACATTGATTTTTTATCTTGTAATATGTTTATTAACAATGTTTTACAAGTGTTTCACTCGCGTTACGTGCGCGAATTATCCCTACATATTTATAATTATAGCTAAAAACTGTCGTCTAGACAAATATTCCGAGTGCTCTAGAAATTAAAAATTTATATACATGGGAGAACAAAACATACATTCAAAATATACGCATGTACCATGGGATCATCCGTCGGTTCGAATAATCCACAACAGAAAACATTCGCCACAAAAAGTGATACTGTTCCTTTAAAATGATAAAATGCATAGATTTAGGGAACAGTTCACAAACACTTTCTAAATTCGTCCTCTCTTTTCTCATTCTCTTTTAAAGAAACAAAAATGATAGTAAATCGTAGAAAACGTGCAGGATACGCAAATTATGCAGTCTCTTTATACGATAAATCCTAAGGGAGGGAGTAAAGACTTAAAAATTGTTTAGTATTCTAAGGTACGCTGGTTGTGCCTGTTTCTTTATGAAAATTAAATGTCATCGTACTCTACTAGTTAAAAATATATTAGAAAACCTCCTTATACAATTTCGAATAAAATATACAGGAGCGAGGTTCATTTCACATTAGAAAATACAGTGTTAACAAATAAGAGGTAACATGAACGCGACGATATTGCATCATCTTGAATTCGATTTTCTTTCTGGCTGAATTTCACACGTTCATTATAATGAATCGAAGGAAATACCTTAGAATATAAACGAGACTCGAAACTCGCGGAAATGAATTTATTGCGTATAAATCTTTGTTTCTATGTTTTAGTCTTATAAAAATTCATTTAAAACACACCTGAAATGCTTCTTAAGAAGTTGATTGTATACGGTATACAAAATACTTTCCCAGGATAAAGTGAACGTTAATATTATTATTCTTTCTTTCAGCCAGTCCTTCCGACTCGCATGTCATTTTGTTTAACTCACATTTCTAAGCGATTATTAAATTATCGATCTTTTTTTTTTAATTTTTTTTCTTTTTTTTTTTTTCTTTTTTTTTTCTTTTTTTTTTACATATAACGTAGTTAAAATTCATAAACGCGAATGACGTCGTAGATTAACAAGTTCAAAGTTTGTCTAGCTATATTTAACTAAAATCACGTATCAAATCACAGTTTTACATTTGTGGCATACTTTTTTATAAAAATTCCTCTAACGAGTGGAAAATTCCTTCTCGCTTTTGTATCGATCGATCACAAAGTTAAGTCAGCATACGTTTGAACAGTTTTATGTTTGAACAAAAAAATGTTCGAAGAAAGAGAATTAAAATGCTGATTTATTAAAAGCACGGCATATGTGTATATATATATATATATATATGTATATATAAAGAAATAATGTTGATGGAACGTTCAGATTAATTCTACGATTTTTAAAAATATCTTAAAAACTTAAATTTATAAAATTAATAAAAAAAATATATCGGAAATATTTAAAATGCGGAAATATTTAAATTTCAAGAATCATGATATGTGAGCATCGTATAACCGCGGGCACAACGAACAGTAAGACATTTTTGACGAGGCAATAACGTCGCTGTAACCATCACGGTCATCTACGATTTATCGTGAAAAATATATACTCGATTACGAAGGATCTCAATTGTGGATCCTTGCTACTTCTTTAGATATCGTGACACGAAAGTCGCAAGGCTTTTTCCACCTATAGCGGAAGCAGTTGTCTTGATTAACAATTCTGTCGAATCTCAATGTTCCGCCGATCGTATCGGTGCTCGTAAGCGAAACATCTCATTAAAAAGGAAACACTGAAACACTAAGAGCGATTCAAATGCAAGATACATCTATCAATACATCGATCAAAAATCACATCAATAAATATTCAGTTACAAATCGAAACAGTGCTTTCAATAATTTTGAATCAAGTTACACATAGAATACGATAACATTTTAAAAATAAATTTGCGCTGCTCGTCTACGAGCTTTTTTTAAATTCTGTATGGTAAATACTGCGGCGAAGAATCTCTTCCATTCTGACATATGTCGAACATCTAGGTAAGTAGATACTTACTTCCTTGGTCCATAGAGATGAAATTTCGTTAACAATGCCTAACTTCCATTCCACGTGGAAGTTTGTGCCCTTGAACATGACTCATACGTAACTGCCTCGTAGCCATTCCACCACCACAATGACTGCTCCAATCGGTGGTCGATACTTGAGTTCGATAAAATTTGGAGGAAGTCTTGTTGAAAATTGGCAATAACTCGTTGGCTTCGTTCGACAAAGCCTGACACGTTTAAGAATAAAATAAATGAATAAAGAACACACTTGTACACTAGAGTATACGAAAGTGAGTTACATCGACTTGCGACTTTTACCTTTAGATATACGATCGCATCGGTACCGAAACCATCGCAACTTTGGAGAACGAGATCACCGTGGAAATATCTGGCGTATAATCGAGATACTGGAAGACCATAACCGTATCCGGCAAGTGGAACTGTATGAGCATCGGTTTTGGTTGGCCTAGGTGCCGTGCTATACATGTATTTAAACAAATGGTCCATTTGGGAGCGAGGAATACCGCCACCTTTATCGGACATCTGGAAAAATAGGACAAAATTAATCGAAGTGCAAAGTTATCGCGCTGTATATCAAACGAGTATTGATTCCTAATGTTTTAAAAATATTCCAACTGATATAATCTGATCGCGAGCACGTTCCTTATCGAATATCTGATGCACCGATATTGAATATCAATGTTGGCGAAACTTAAGATACAATTTCCACGCAACAAACGTTTATTGATAAATTCGATCGTTCATAATTCACTCATCAATGCTTCGATAGTTTCAAATAATCGTTTTCAAAGTCGATGCACGATTTGTAAATTACCTTAACGCATATATCTTCTTTTCCACGCGACACGATCACTTCTATGGCTGGATATTCCCCGTTGGAACTATGGTGTTCCATAACCGCTCGCATACTATTTTTGAAAAGTTCGAACAGCATGTGGAACAAATGGCTCGGTACGTAAACTATTCTAATTTGGCTACATCGATCGTATTCTGAAAAGAACCAGATTTAATTACAATCAGATAATGATTCTTCTTCTTTTTCTTTATCATTTTTTATATATTTTTTTTTTATAATATCATTCTTTACATATATTTTTTTTATCGTAAAGAATACACAACAAATTGCCACGATGAAAACTTTTTGTCATTATCCTTAATACGACAAATACTCTAGATACGTAAATACGTATTATCTTTCATCATCACGAGATTCAAAGGTTTCACGATGGCAACTTTATACTATACCTATTAGAGAAAATTTGGTCATGTAACTACTTACTAGTATATATTACTCTAGTACAATCAACATTTTTCAAACTTGCCATTATGTTGCTGGACTATCAATTCCGGACTAGCCATATAATATTGATCACACAGTAATCTCGCTTTCTCATACGCGTCTTTCACAACGCTGCTTATCTCACAGGATGGATCTATGGATCCCACATGTCTACTGTGTCCGTTTAATTCGCTACCGAACAAAAGAGCTGCAGCAAAGATAATTTTCTTTTTTAATTAACTACCTTAATTTCATTTAATCCAAGGGCAAGTATTAAAACGCGGCAAAAATAGGACTTACTATGTTGATTGATCAACATACGAATGGAAATTCGAGACATGAGAAATCTGTCCAAGAAATATTGAATATTGTTTTCCGTCTGGACATCGACATCGTGGGATTCTTTCAATTCTAAAACACCCTGCGCCATCGTTTCGACGATGTCCTTATGCCTGTTCCTAATTTTCACCAATGTCTGACAGAATCTGAAAAAGAAGGCAAATGACAACTTTGGTTGAAAACTCGAAGGTAAAAATCAATATTTTTCTATTAGGCTAAGAGATCGTTTCTAACGTTGGAGGACTCACTTGTCTAGAGTGCTATCGTTGACTTCAACCTTCTCGAACTGCATGATATCCTCGAACGAAGTGGCGTATAAATTATTAACTATACCCACGCTAGGCATTTTCAATAAATTCTCCGGCAATAGATGGATCTCTTTCATAATGTTGGCCAATCGGACCGGCAATTCCTTCCTTAAGAATATAAAGGATTTCCTCTCACAGGCACTTAGGCCTGAAACATTCAACATTTTCCTTAATCGCATTTCACTTTTATATTTGTTTGCGTTACAATAGATAAACTGATCATGAATTTAGAGAGAGAGAGAGAGAGAGAGAGAGAGAGAGAGAGAGAGAGAGAGAGAGAGAGAAAGAGAGAAAAAGAGCGAATGATCTTATCAATTTAAAATCATTATCAAACAAAGCTTTTCATAAGTAAGTTGTTTTGAAGAATGTAAAAGAACGGAGGAACGATGAACTTTGTAAATAGTGCATCGTCGCGTAAACTCGATTGCTTTGCAAGAAAAAAAGAATATTTTTTTTTTTTTCGAAAATGTACCTACATTGGTAACGTGCAACATATTCCGGATCTTCTTCGAATCAAGAATTATCCATTTACTTTTCCAACGAGGGGAAAACTCATCGATTTTTCAAAGCATTAGAAATCAAAGATTAGAATGTATCGAGACATTAGGAAAAAAAAATTTTATCTTAATATCGGATTTATGAAATCGTAAGTAGGTCATATATGAATCATACTGTATTTATATATTCGCATATATGCTTTTGTTTCTGCTAATCTCTCTAGAAAATACGATGGTATAGGCACGACTATGGTTAGATTAATATATCGTTTTTATCATTCCTCTCGGATAACTCTGTTTACGTTGACCTCGTATCAAAGTGATACAACAGTGTCATTTTTGACATGCTAATCGGATAATACTCTTTTAAAATTTAACCATCGATCGATTTATCATCGACGTCTTTGTGGAAAACAATCGTGTTGCTTGCATTGCACGCGAGAGTAACTTTTTTTTTAGTTGTCTCGATTTAGAAGAGGGTTGGTCTATCGATTGTTTTTAACTCGATTAACTTATTGCGTCGACTCTATAGAACGTTTATTCTCAGTACTAATATATTTAGATAATAATGGTATTTCGTCAATCACGTTATTAATCAAATTAATCTGAGCTTTTTTTTTTTTTTTTTCCTTAATGAAATTGTGCAACACGAGTTTCTATCGGTCAAATAGATAATAAAGTAAGAATCAATCGCGATCGATTAATTATACTTCGTTTCTAATCGAGGTTGTTTAATTTATGCATTGTTGTTGAAAAATTGATGAAGAGTGATTCAGGTATATAAGATAAGGTAGAGATTGAGTCCCGTTAAAAATATGTTTGATTAAACTTATAAGATAATCGTACACAACATTAGTTGATAGTTGTGATAATTTTATCTTATTTATATCATTCATTCGCTTGATATTTGAACAAAATATATTCATAATATTCACTATTTTAATTTTCAATTTCATCAGAAAGATATAAACGGTTGTAGAAAAAGAAAAAAAATTGAAATGATCGATATGAAAGGAAAACATGATAAAACTTGACCATCATTATCGATATTGTATTCCATCGAATAACAGCTTGATCCCATTGCTCGATTGGATTAAATTACCGATGTTAACTTAATCGAGTAATTTTGCATGATCGCATATAAGGATATATAGGATGAATTATTTAATACTTTCTTCAAAAATGAAAGTTCAGGATAAAACATGGACTATTGAAATCGTGTTACCTACGTTTAATTATCTTTTGAGATGAAATGGAAAAGAAGAACGGATTTGGTAAATTTTTTTACCAAAGATTTTAAAATCTAATCTTCTATTTTGACGCAAAATTGTGAAAAAGATCAGATATATATGTATATTACCAAAAAGATTGGTAATCGAAAATATCAAATTTGTTCAAATGCCACGTTTTCCATTAGAGGAAATTTCATTTTCTTCTTTTTAACGAGATAGATAGCAAATGATTTACTACCAACATAATAAATTGCCGTGAAATTACCTATTGACTTTATCTGCATCAAGCAGACCGAATAAAAAGACCTCTTGTGTGAAAACGATTTTCTACGATCAAATTCGATTTAGAAAATCTAGTTTTTTCCACAACTGTTCAATTTCTTTTTGCGAAATTATTGAATCGCAAATAAATCCTAAATTATTGATGAACCATAAAACTGATACCCTTCAATATTCGATATCAATATCGTTTAATCTTTTTGCCTTCTTTTTTTTTTTTTTTCTTTTTTTTTTTTTCATTATTCGATAAGACTTAAATCGGTCAGTATTTTATATGAATAACGAGATAATTCGTTAATTTTCATATCTACGTTTCTAAAATCATGGAATTTCGAACAAATTGAATAGCAATAATAATTGGATTCTAATAATTCATCGAACGTGTTAATCGTTGCATTTTTCTTCGATTTATTTTTATCGAATGTTAAAAGGTTTTACAATTATCACTTTTTTTTCTCATAATATCGTATGAAATTGTATTAATTAATAAGGAAAACCAAACGGGTAAAAAAAGATTTGTCGTCATGTGTAATTGACACAAACATAGACGGATATTTTAGCGAAATTTATCGTTTTTTTTTCGACAAATTTTCCTTATCCTAATGAATAATCCTTCTGAATATCCCTATCCTATTACGACACAGACGAAAAAAGAAAACACGGTTAATTGACACAACATATTGTGAAATTCGATTAATAATGTTTTGAAAGTTGACAAAACGATCACGAGAAGAATTTTCGCGATAAAAGCACGACAATCAATATTTGCTTAATTTTAATTTCATGTGATCGAATGTAGACGATTTTCTTGACTTTAGGACATTAATAAAACATATGTTTACATATATTGCATATTCAATGTGACACAATTAATAGAACGAAATTTTAATTGAATAATTTTTTATTCAAGGTGCACAGTCCGTTTGTTTAATATGCCAAGAGATTCATTACGATGACTGGTAAGGTTAAAGAATGCATTGAATTGCGATGAAACGTGCAATGTCGCTCAATGAACCGTTTTTTTCCACTTGGGAGCACAATTCGCTATAAATTCAATCGATTGTAGAGAATCTGTATGCTATGTTTCGAAGTGGCGAAATTATAATGTGTAATTACATAATTCATAAAATTGGCAATTTACGATTCCATGATTGATAGAATCACTTATTCGAAATCTTAATGCTGATTTCCTTCGTGAATAAAAGTTTATTGAATCGCGATGTGAATTTTTTGCATGGAAATACACAAAACAATTGTTTTCAATAGTTTTAATTAACTCTATATAAAAACTTAATAAATTTTAATGCGCGAAGAAAAGGAAATACGACCATTGTTCGAGTTTTTTACTCGAACAATTTGTCGTAATGGAATGCAATGTGATATGTTTCCTTTTTTTCGTGAATTTATTTCTGTTCGATAAATAACAGTTGTTGATTTATATTGGTCTGATTAAGAATCAGACCAGGTTTCAACATTGCAAAGGAATTTTTAATTTAAAGGATTCTCGAGAAGATCAAATTGGTTGAAATTGTTTTTTCTTTTTCATGGAATGAAAAGATAATTGTAAAAAAGAATTTCTTTAAAATAAGTAATAATATCAATATTTATGAAAAAAAAAAGTATCAATCGTCGATATAGAAAACAACTTATCACGACGATACGGCGATAAAGCATCGGTGACCGTATTTCAATACAACACGTCACAAATTGTCTATCGTTTCATTTACCGACTCGCGCAAATCGATCCGCTATTCTAATTTTATTCACATTCGTTCCTTACTTTTCAAGGGATCAGGGAAAATGGAGAATTTTCTTTGATACGAGGTAGCCATTCAATGGTTCAATCTCAATTTTTTTTTTTTTTTTTAATAAAAAAGAGAAATAATAAATTGAAAACACTGTAAATCAAAAGCAAGCAAAAGATAAAATCAATTTTCTTCGACAATTGTTGTTTCTTTAACAATACCTGTCCGCATAATGATATGTCTATTTCCGCAAAAAGTTAATTTACGTAAATAAATTGTTCGTTCAGAAAATTCATCTCATCAAAGATAATCATTTGTTTAAGCTTCAAGCGATAAAAATATACGAGCGTTACGTAAGTCGAGGAATATTAATTTGTAAGGTACTATTCCATACGTAATGAAAATGTAATTATCATCGGTTAACAATGTTAACATTGATGTATCACGCGCGAGTACAATGCGAGGAAGTCGAGATTTAAACGTCGCGTAAATTTTCCTGGAGGAACAAAGGCGACGGGATGGAAAATGGTTTTCCAATTTCAGAGATTGGAAAACGTACACAGCGATTGATCAATCCCACGAGGAATTTGAATGGAGGAAGACACGAGGCAAACGACAGGGATTATAAATTCGTTAATTAGCTTCGAAACAATATAGTCTCGTTATAGCTCGACCTATTTCAACAAAACAATTTTCTTCGACGGCACGAGGCTAGAGGTTTCCATTTTAATCCACTAATTATCTCGATTCTGATGAGTTTCGAGAAATTTCGAAAGAACGATTTTAGGATAATTGACGAATATGACGTGGCACGAAATCGAAGGTATTTTTTTATCTTCTCTAACCTAAAATCTAATTTTACGCGCCGTTTGACAGAAAAAACTTTATCTAGGCTCACTCTGCTTTACGATCGAATGGAAGGATATTTTTCGTAAAAATAACTTTATTTCGTTGAACGTTATATATTGGCAGTGACGCATTAATAAAATTAAAGGACGTGAAACAGCGTAAAGGTTTGCTTAGTTACGACGTCGTAAAAGACACTTTCGGTTGAAATTGTATGGTAAAAAAAACCGTGAACAATGATCTTATTCGTTTTAACGCACGTTAAATTCCCGATAAATTTAAGGATTAATAAACATTGAGATTTTATTACAAAAATTATCGATAATATAATATAAGATTAGATAATTCGTTATATTGGAAAAGGCATATATAAATTTTTATATAGAAATTTTTATTTTTTGATTTAAATATCGTATCACGTGTTACGAAATAATTTTCTAAAAACCATTAACGATACAGAGTTTAATCGTTGAATTCAAGGTTGATAATTTGAATAGACAAATTAAAAGGAACTTTGTAAACACTGCAAATACCGTAATATTGTTATGCTCGTTTAATATTATGAAATATGTTGTCATCAAATAAATTTTAACTAAGATGTTTTATTCAATGTACGTTGATATCAAATGCAGTGTAATAAATACTAATGACATAGAATGAATCATATATGAGTCATTGTTTCATAACAATATTTGTTGAAAAATTAATTATATTAAATGAAAATTAATTTTTCAGAGGAAAAAGGTTACGTAAATTTATTTCTTTTTCCCTTCTCTTTCTTTTCGTTTTTTATTCTTTATTAACAAATTGAAATTGGTAAATATTTTGCAAGTAACTGAAAAAACATCCATTCGTTATCAGTTCGAGATCGTTTAATCGTTAAATTTTAATAAAATAAACGAACGAATATTTTTTTTTTTTGTTTGCATCGCGCCAAACTCGTTGACAAAGTAAAAACTCGACCAGAATGCAGTCTCAGTTATATACCCATCGCCGATGGAACTTGCTGGAAGCATCCTAATCATGTTTCCGAACAGTGCTTCTCTATACGAGTTATTCTCTTATAATATACGCAGATATGCAACTTTGCATATAAATGAATAGTAATCTTTTCTATCTCTGTATATTTGTTTTAAAAAAATTCTTCTCATTGATGATCAACAAGATTTTCCAATTTAAATTTAATAGCGTCATAAATCACTTAAAACAACTAGTCAATAAAATAAAATAAAATATTAAGGGAAGTTATGATAAAAATATTATTACAGGTAGAAAAATAACGATTAGTCATCGAATCTTCTTCGTTATAACTCGCGTGATACGAGTCATGTACTGTTCCATAACCAGTTCTGGAATCCTTCGACGGGAAATATAACCGGTCAGAGGAAGCAGCTGTTTAGTTTTAAAGCCTTAATCCCAATGTTCAAAGCCAAGCACACGTGCCCCAATGCACTTCTCATCACTGCACACGCGAACTACGCTTAACCGTGGTCGTTAAATAATACAACGATGAACATCGTATTAGTGTAGATTTACTTTGAAATCAATTAATGATAAGATATGCGGAGCAATCAACTTTCATTCAAGTGAAAGGAATCGAGATCGTTCGAAAAATATACGATAAATGGATAATTATTACAAAATTGAAATAAATTCGTATTGATTCGGAAGTCATTAATAAAAAGAAAGTAGTAGAAATTTCTTTCGTGTAGCTCGATATTGCTATTCTAAAATAGAAGAAGAGGCTAATGAAATAACCATCGGATCAATAAATATAACAATTATATACATTTAAAGGCTTTATCTCGTTTGTGCAATCGTTGTTTAATCAAGAATATAAATGGCAGAAGCGAGTGGTGGACATGTAACACAGATGTGGCCAATGTTACTTGACCACAACTTTCAAAAAGTCAAGATCTTACAAACTATCTTTCTCATACATTCATAAATTGAAGAATCTCTGAAATTAAGCTCGAAAAGTTCATTAAAAAAGAGATTAAATGTTGAAATATCTCGGTTTCATTATCAATTCGTCTTTCTTAATCGGTACAAAGTTTGTCCTTTTACGCATCAAGAATAAATATACATGCAAAAAACATACGTAAAAAAATAATTAATTATTTTGAAATAAGAAATGATGGTTTACGTCAGGAAGAAGAATTATGGGCAAGAATTCAAAAAAGAATTTATCGAGAGTTCAAACTCTAAGAATTTGTACACCCACACTTATTGACTGACGCGAAAAAATGGCAATGTTCCAGCATACCATTCGCAATAAGTGTATTCCTATTTACCTTCGTGGAAATTGCCACCAATGACAGTGGCCAACTCGAGGAAAGATTGGCCAACCTTGATTTTCTTGATTTTCAATCTACACTACGTAGATTGTTTCTTCTTTAATTTATATAAATTTACATCGGTATATCAGTTTGAACATTGATAATTCAAGAAATTGAATATTCGTGTTATATTCGTGCATTTAAAGATCTATAGATTGTTTGATACGTTCTGAAAGCGACACCGACACAAAGGAGGACACTTTGAGGGGGAATATCTCTGTTTAGAACAGTAGTTCGCTATATAAAAGAGTTAAAGTGATCTACATGAACCAGATTCGCAAGGTCTACTTTGAAAGGCAAATCGCGAGATGATATTTATTTTCGAATAAATTTCCTCTTATCAGCTCGACTTCGTTTGATTTTATTTCGATATTTGCTTGTTTGTATATATTTTCTTTAAAAAGCAATAGAATACACAGGTAAACTCGTGACTTGATATTTATGTGCGAAAATAATTCCAAGTACCACGCGATTAATTCCAAGTACTACTACAGTAGTAGTTTGGAAAGAGGAAACAGGATGTTTTATTAAAACTCGTGATACGCGCCATTAGTATATTTGTCAGTCGCGAAGTTAACAAACAAACGTTGCATAGTATGATAACAACGCAAAATGCTTTTTCCGTGGAATCGTTTAAATTCTGACATCACTATGAAAATTGTAACAATATCGACATTAATTTTAAATCAACAAGATATGAGAAAATATTATAATGAAAGAAATCGACATCAGAAATAAAAATTCTATTTACGAATTCAATGAATTCTTAAAATATTCGTGTAGTAAAGTCGTAGATGGTTTCTTTCATATATGGTTTATATACGAATGAATAGATATACGTATCTTGTATATCAAGTAGTCGATTCATTAACGGAATAGTGCGATGATGAAATACGAGGCGTGTTGGACTCTGTGACGTCTATGACGTCTGACAGTTCGAAAACAAAGGACCGACAGACGAAATACACACAACTTCGGTGAACGAGAATAAGACATGTCATTTGATAAGAGTTATGTCTTTCTCTATCTTAATATTATTAGGAAATAGTCCAAAAAGATTTTTACATATGAAAAAATGTAAAAATACATTTTTTAAATTTCTAAGTATTTTTTTTTTTAATAACAAATCATCAAATGAAATTTATATGCAATTTTTTCAAAAATTTTGTCATTTTTTTTGTTAAATAAAATTAAAAGAAATAAAATTAAAATTAAAGAATTATAATATAAAACAAATAACTTTATATCGAGGACTAAGAGAAAAGAATGAATATATAATTTTATAGAAGTGTTGGCGGAGAATGGTTGAAACAAGTCTAATTTGTAAAAATTTATCGATTAATTTCAGTTTAATGTGACCTTTGTAATCGGATGATTAGATCACTGTACTAAAATTATAAATATATCGAATAAATTAGAAAACAAAAATACACTAATATATTCAGATTAATAAAACTGTTACGAATCTAACATTTTCACGAGTGCAGTGACATTTAAAGATCGATACAAGAGCAGCAACCTTGCATTTTCTCATTCCGAAAATTTGAAAATTTAAATGCTTAGTTTTCTTGAAAATTTTCAAAAAGAAAAATAAATTTTTAAAGATAAAAGAAAAATGTAAGAAAATATTGAAAAATTTTAAAATCATTCTTCTAAAGAATTATCTTGCTAAATTTCCCGCCATAATTTATGTGTAAATCTCGTGACTCTTTTTTCTCCTCAATCAAAAGAAAAATTTTTTTTTGTCATTGATATAATTTCAATCGATATTTACTTAGAATCATATATTTTTCATTTAATTTTATAAGAAGAAAAAAACAAAAAAAGATTATATACATAAGTTTATAAAAAATTAAGTTTATATTTTTTTCGTATAATTAATCATTTGATTAATTTTTTGCATATATATAATCGTAAAAATTTTTCAATAATCAATTAATTATATATTTTGATACGACAAATACAATTCTAATAATTTAAATGATATACTTCAATTATTTCAAATTTTCTAATTATTGCGAATTTATTGCGAATTATTGCGAATATAAAACTATATATATAAAACTCCATTTTTGATAGAATAATCGAAATATACAACGCCATCATTGACATTCATTTCTCGACGCAAATAATACAAAAAATGTAAATTAATCACGGACGATGCCCCGGAATCATTAAGGGATTCTATCGAAACGACCCTGAAAATAATGTCTTATGTTCTTGTAGGGTCGTTGTTCGATTGCTGCCGTTCTCTCTTTTTCTCTCTCTCTCTCTCTCTCCACTTGCCAAAACAATGGTAGGTATGAGGGAATGAAAGTAAAAAGGAAGGAACAAGTAAAAAAGAAATGGTCTGGATTTGTCGATACCTGACACTCGAGGTTTGAAGTTATACAAGCTATGTAACGTTTACCAATAAAGCAACCTTTCCACACTCACCGAAATCGATGAACTGTTTTATCGAAAGCGGCGAAGGATTGAATTGCGAATAAAAGTCCAACATCTTGCTGATATTCCCAAGACACTTTTGCGTGAGCTTCATCTCGTTGTACGTTGTAACACATGAAACTTTTGAACTTGGTTTCCCTTCGATTTTCTTCTCTCAAATGAAAGCTTAAATTTGACGCTTAAAAAAATACTGTCAGACCTTCGCCGAACTGAGAATCTACTGCAGGCAGGTTGAATTAGCGAGGCTTCTTCGTGTAGTAGTACGCCGGCTCGAGGATAGGAGACACCTCCGATCGCAATGGTTCGTGGCAAGGCTAGAGATGATTACTGGTGTTTCAAGAAAGGGGTTCTCTATATGTTCTCTCTGATATTTGCGGCTGCGTAACTTCTATCAAATGAATAAAAGTGGGGTTGCCCGAGGCGCCACATTTAAAATATTATGCTATCTTATCGTGTTTTTATTATTTGTGATTGTTAAAAAGCATTTTAATCGCAATTAATTTTTTATTTTGAAAAAATAAAAAATTGTGAAAACTTTGAATTTTATTTATGAAATTCATAATGATAAAACTTTTAATAGGATTAAATATAAGAAATTATTTTCATAAAAATTTTTAGAAAAACAAATGCGAATTAATTGAAAAGAATCATGTAATAATATTAGATAATAATAGATAAATAATTTGTATATTTTTTAGAACAAAAAATAGTTCAATTTGTATTCAATCTAATTATGTTAATTGAAAATGGATACGCAAAAAAAAAAACAATAGTATATTTGTAGAAATATTTCTTGTTTAAATATACATGTGCACAAGTTATGATCTACAATGATTGAATAGAATCAATTAATTAATTTATTTTTATTTAAATATGAGATTAACATATTTTTTTATTTTATTCAATACTAGTTTGAGCGTCATTTCATATTCCGGAAGTAGCAAAGGAAAAAGTGGCGCCATCAATGGTACATGCCACATACGGTAACTGTGGATCAATTAACCTCTGCATAAGTTACGTTTATAATACATATTAACTCTTTTTACTGTTTCTTGAGTCACAGTTTTGATTTGTAAGTAATCTAGTTCATCGATTTTTTTTTAAACTTTTGTGAAACAATTTGAATGATTTGATATTTTTGAAACACGCGACTGCGTTTCTAGGTTAGGTAGCCCGTGAATTTTTTTGTGTTGGTCTTCTGCTAGACAATCAGCGCCACATATTCTAAGTTAAGAATAGAATTTCTCTGTGTTTTATAAAACTAAAATAATATTCAGTGATAAAAGGATTGTGTTGTCCTTTATTACGATTTATCAACGTATTTTCTATGGTGTAAATCGGTTCTTGTGAAAATTGGCTCTGCATTTGGAAGTTCCATTGACTTCGAAGTGTTTGACTGACTTCCGGCCAAGACAAGCCCATGTGGACAGCAGCAGCGGTGCCTCAGATCACTCTGTACTAAGGCTGTTCCTCGTGCTCTTGTGAAAAAAACTTGTTCTTCGAATAATCACGCCGCGTATATCGCGAAAGTCATAACAATATGGCTGATTTAGATGATTTCTTCGCAAAAAAAGATCGTAAAAAAGCAAAAGGAAAAAAATTTACAACCACAGAGGAAATAGCGAAGAAATTGGAAGAGACGGGTAAACGTTTGGGAAAGAAATCAAAAGACAAACCAGTGAATCCGGAAGGCGAGGAAACTCAACAAACCGAGGTGATACGTTCGTTTCGTGCGTGTTCCTTCTTCTTCGTTTTTCTTTAAACTTCTGACTTTTAAATCAGAAATTGTTCACGCGAAACTGTCGATTACCGTGCGCTATAGGTCGCTGCCATATTTGTTCGTGTAAACGTCATTCGTACCATTACTGAAATTAATCTGCTTTCTTGAATTCTTTAAATCTAATATGATTCATGTTCTCTTGTTGTCTAATAGTCAAATCGTTTGTTACATAATTGAATTGTTATACAAACACAAATATTTTTCGCTGTAAACTTATCGAAACAGAGCAGCTGTTCTAAGATTATCATCGCAAATGATCTTTTCTATGTTAGGATCGAGAATCTATTTCTTTGAACGAAAAATTCATTTGATTACTTTTTTTTATCTTTACAATGTGCATTCTTTATAAATTACATAAAAATTCTTGCATTATTTTACATGTTTAACAAATATATTTTCTTAGGATGAAGATGAATGGAGAGACTTTGAAGAAGAAAAGAAAGATTATACTGGCTTGAAAATTGGAAACTTAACACTTAACGAATCCATAGATGCAGAATCCGATGATGAAAAAGGTACAGGAGACAATAGCTCGGATGGAGAATCAGGAGAGGGTGGCCTAAAACATTCAGGTCCTTGGAAGAAGCCTGAACTTCCTCCACAACCAGAAGTAACAGAAATAGCTCCACCACCACCACCACCTGTTACTTCAGGAAGTAGTTATAAACCACCACATTTAAGAAATATTCAGACAGTAGCTGCTAGTCCTAGACAACGAGCGAAAAATGTTGCACCGGATATACATAGTGAAGAATATTTCCCAACTTTAAATTCCAAACAGCAACAGAGCAATGAACCCAGTGGACCATGGGGCAGGCGGTACGGATTATATATATATATATACATTGATATTTTCAAGCATTATAAAATATTGGAAAAAAATTGCATCTATTTAAAAAACTAATTAAAATTTTATTTTAGGAAACGAGATGAAGGTACGTTTGAAGAAGTTCGTAATCGAGGAGGCAGTAGGTCATACAGTGTGCAGGATGCGCAAGCTCAAGCACCGAAGCTCTCTTTGGGCAACAAATATGGTGCCCTATCGCAAGATCAAAGCTGAAATCATCTTTGATCACTCGATCAAATGACAAACACAATCATCATCATTAAATCATCGCCTCTCTCCGTTTCGTGGCCCAGTTGCGCTATTAAATATGTTTTCTAGGATATAGAACATGATGAAGCGTGTACGGATAGAATCCATCATCGATTCATGTACCGTCTAGCTTTTGACAGGTCCGATGATAGTTAAGAAAAAAGAAAAGAAATCCTGTTTCGTTCGATAGGAGATCTCATTTACTATCGTGAAACTGGATGCACGATTTCTTTCGTAAAGACGCGATTCGTGCTTGCGATGAATTTCGCAAATGAACGTGAACATTTATTTTTTCATATAAGAAAGACATGCTCAAAACATACATTTTTAGCACCAGTTTTATATTTAATTTTTTAATCTATATAGTAAAAAAGATGAGAGATCTTTATTGATGAAGGGAAAAGTAAGGGGAAAACTATAAGTTTGCGTGATAGACCGGAAGTTGAGATAGACCTTTCGTTTCTTCGCGCAAAAGATGTTAAACTTTGCGATTAATCGCGTGAAGTATTTACGCGACAGCTGTATTTTTACACGGTGCTGCTGTTTTCGTTTAGCGTGTTTGCTTTCGCGTCAGTCGATCGATCGCCTTCGAAACGTCACGGGAATATAGATTGAAACATTAAAATACTCAAATATGACATCCTTTCAATGTAAGAAGGATTATTATGTAATTATGTGTTCATTATACGAAGAAAAAGGAAGTCGATTATATTTAACAGACTTTTCGAAGTAAGATCGATCCTGGTTGGGCCGTGGCTTTTCGAATATATCGTTTCGCTCAACGGCAACGTACGTCAACGAACACAAAAATCTAGATGAATTAAGATATATGTATAAATATATATATGTAATAATTATTTCGAAATAATTGAATTCCGGGGCTGGGCTTTGGAACGGTGCGAAAATATTGCTATAAATATCAACACAACAGAATTGCGTGAAAGAAAGGAAACAAAGAACGTATACGCAAAGTATAATAGATCAGATAAATGAAATCAAGAAAACTTACCAATAAAATGGTATAACCAACAAAAAATACAAAAAGAAGAGACATATATGCGTAAATATAAAAAAAAGAACAGAAGACGTATGTACGCTTTTGTTAACGCTTGTTTAATTAGTTTTGTTGATTTAGGGATTTCTTTCGCAAAAAAGAAATGAAAACTGGGGAGAGGTTGGATTGAGTAAGGGATAGAGGAAGAGCAAGAATTATGAAATTGTTCTTCCGTGGGACTCCTCTCCTACGAGGAGTTTGGGGTGCTAACGCTGTTATTTTTTGAAGGTGAACAAAAAAAGAGAAGAAAAAATATAACTTGGAGAAATAGGTAAAAAATGAAAAACGAAAAACGTGAGCCATACATACACAAGCGAGGGAAAGAAAAAAAAAACGGAGCCTTGTATAGTGAACTATAAAAAGAAGAAAAAAGGATGTGATTATTTATAATAAATTTCCTAGGACAAACTTATAAGTACTGCCTTAAATATTTTAATTTCGTGAACCATCAATGATATGTCGATAATCTCGCGATTGGCTTTGAAAGTGCGAGAGAAACCACTCAAAAATGAGTATAGTTGCGATCGATAATTTTCTGTTCGCGCGATTGACCGTCACAGTTTTATCTCGAGAATCGAAAGCACTTTTTACGGGCATTTCCACATAGAAATATGCAAATTCCATGTGCGAGAATCTAAAGTTGCTTATCTGGTTGGGCCGATCAGTTTGTTCGTTTCTCAGATCGAATCATATATTTATTCATTTAAATTCTTATAATAATACATTTATAATCGCGAATTGAAATAAATATTAGATAATAATTAAATAGTTATAAAAATTTTTCTATCATTTGTCATTTTTTTTTAACAAACTGATCGACTGATCTCATACTGTATTTAAGAGTCACCAATCTTGTAATTTGTCAATCAATTTCAGTCAAATGACTGGAAATAACAATCTTATCTAATTCTAAGGAATAAAATGGGGATTAGTGTCTCTATATTCAGTAAATAATAAGATCGAATATTGAGAAAGAAAAAGATGAAGTCATGAGAAAATAATATTGTTGTCGTCAGAATACTAAACTTCGCCTGCCTTTTGTTACAGAAGTTGAAATAATTTTATCGCGATTGTTAGAAGAGAAAATAGAATGACAGAGGAAGCGAAAGAATGCGCGAAAGAAAGAATGGGATGCAACGTGGCGAAAAATGAACTTAATATTAAATAATAAGAAAAACATAGAGTGAACATATGAAATTTATTTCTAATAACATTTGTTTTTATTTCATTTCATTATACACATCTCAACTAAATGCAACTCGCAATACTCGTGCCCAATTTCTGTGAAATGAATAAAAAGAGAGAAAAGGAAAGAAAAACTGTTTTTTGCAAATAATGATACATTATGCTGTACAAGATATATTTTCGAGAATGTACATATATAAGTGTTACGATATTAGGTACATTTTTGATTGTTACATAAAGTTTCAAAATATTCTTTTAACAATTAATTCGCTTTATAAAAAGTACAATGTCGCTTCGTTTGTTAATTTATTGTGATGGAAATTAACATAAGATATGATTTAATCCTATGCAGTTTTGAAATGTCTTTAAGAAAGGAATAAATTCGATAGGAAAGTTCATTGTTGGTCATAAAAAAACATTTTAAATTGCAGAGGATTAAGTTCTAGTATTTTCATTTAACGAAAAATCTTTTATTAACTAATCAGAATTAACAGCATAATGTTGAATTTTTATAACGAAGTAGCAACAACATATGCAAAACTTGGTTAGAACAGGTCTTCCGGCCTTATTGTACTCTCCTCGCTGGAAACAAATATATTTCAGAGGATAAAATATCACTGAACTTCACTTCTATGATTGTACGAGGCATCGCGAACATACTTTTCGCAATACTTGAGTCCGTGGCTTCCTTCGTTACTGTACGAACTGTACATGGGTTTTTCTAATAAGGATATCTTGAACTTTGGTAGAAAATATATCCATACCTTTATCAAGGCACTGACCTGAAAACAAGTTTGATAATAAATGGAGCAGATTAATTTAATAACAATTGCGTGTATTAATTGGAATAGTATATCTACTTGATATTTTACTATTTTATATTTTTAAATTAGAAAAGAATATTTTAATTTTTTTTTAAAACATTGTTATTCTTAAAAAACAATGATAAAATAGTAATTAATTTAAAGAAAAATATAATTTTAGATATATTAAATATTTTTAAAAATAATATACCTCTTCAAACTTATCCATCGATTTGACTTTAGATTCTGGAGCAAACAATATATTTTCTTCGGATCGTTTATAAAAAGCTGGATGTTCTTCTAGTTCGTCTAATTTTTTTAACATTTTTGAATCGACATCGTATACTTCACCGAAAACATGCTGCTCATAAAAAAATGTAAAAAAAAAAATAAAATAATTCTATATATTAATTATATAGAATAATTCAAATAATAACAAAGTTTCAATGCAAATGCAATTGTAAATAAAAATTTAAAATGCTTAATTTATCTTATAATAATATTAATATTAGAATTATAAAATACAAAATCAAAAAAAAATATAAAAAATATAATTCTATAAAGGTTTAACTTATAAATAAAAGATATTTAATTTAATATAAATTAAAAATAATAATCTTCTTAAAAAAAATTAAACATACAATGAATGCTGTTACTGTATTAACAATTCGACAAAATTAGTTGTACAGTAATATTATCTATATTAATACTATCAAATCCATGCAATACTCACGTGACCAAAACCAGGTTTCTTCAACAAAAATGGTATATTATAATCAGTTGCAATTATTAACGGATATGGAATAGTAGTCCTTCCAAGTCCCAAGAATTTTGCATAACCATTTTCAGTGTCTTGAATCAAACAGTGATTGGGTTCTCCTCGTTTTAGTGTTCCATACACGAACACTCGCTGTAGAGGATTCTTGAACAAATTTTCGTACATTTTGAACTTCAATTAAATCTTTGGATTGTTTAGAAGATAATTATTTGTCTCATCATCAAACTATTGTTTTAGTGATAAAATTTTTTGATTTTATCTAAACAATTCACTTTATTATCTGCAACTGTATGAGAAGTTTCAAGTTTTCTCGAAGAGATGGTGATATTAGTCAAAAACTATTAACAAGTTCACCTTGTTGTCGGTAACAATGTACGCCAAGTTTGAGTATTTTTAAAGATGGCACTACTGGTTAAATGCTAAAAAAAAGATAACACTTTGGTTATGGCAAACCGTTTTATTTGTATTTTTGAAAAGAACGAATCGTTTGCGGTAATCAATAGTTCACCATTGAATATTAAAATTCTCGAAATAGTTTCGTATTTTTAAATTACAATTATTACTAATGATTCGAAAATTAGTAATAAATTACTTAAAAAAAGCAAATGACGACGACACACCCAACTATCTTTTGCACATGTTTCGACACACTAGAGGTCGTATGTGTTCACTTATTTGCCGGATATCGGTTTCGTCATCGACTGTACCCATTTCCGGCATTCATTTGCGTGAAAAAATAAAACAGTATATCTAGAACATTGCGTATGATATTTTTAAATACAGTTATTTTGGGCTTAAAGCTATCTCAATTTGTCTATGGTTTTTGTTTGAAATATATAAATAATTTTATTAATTTATCTTATAATGCAATAAATTTTGGACAATACTATATTTATTTACTATCAATTTAAAGATTAATATGATCAAATTATTAAAACTAATAATAGTAAAGAAAATTAAAAAAAGTTGATTGTAAGATTTACCTTGTCCGATAGAAATGAAATATCTTCGATTTTCGGTAGATCATATAACGTGTAGATTTCTAAAAACGCGATATTCGTTAGCACTGCCGCGGCTGCAATGTGAAACAACATTGTCGTAAATTGCAACGCGGCAAAACTAATGATCAGGCATACAGTATGTATAACTCTGGCCTCGCTGTCGCATGAAAGTCCAAAGGTTAAACGATAAGAGCTTTCGCATGACAAAATCACGCCATTTCATTTTTCCTTTCGATTAATTTTGCCGATTTTTTCTAACTTTCTATTTTTTTCCAATAAACTTAAAAGAATATCATATATCTTCCTTGTTATTTTAATTATTATATGAAAAAATATTGCATATATTACTTGGTTATCTCATTAAATTAATTTCATGAATCGAAAAATACAAATAATACTTTAATAGTAATTTTATTTGTAGAAATTTATGCGAATTTTTAGAAAATTTAGTTTTATGAAAAACAAACATTTTGCCGTAAGATTTCGCAATCTTTTGATACGAATTCTCGAAAAGCATTATTTTTCAAAGATTCTCCACTTTGTCTTTGTTGTAAAATTTTTTCGAATATATACCATTCTTTTTCTTCTTCCTTCTTAATATTGTTTCCCTTGAAATTTAGATTTATAAGATACAATATAAGAAATTAATTTTAGATAGAATTTTAATTACCTCGATGAGAACATATAAAAGACCTTTACTTGTATTACCACGTAACATATAATTCTGATAATAGAGACAGTTTATCAATTCTTCTAAAATATTTTTCGTTAAATGATTGTCTAAATGAAAAAGATCTTATTTCAGATTTCTCATTATTCAAAATAAATTATAAATATTTACAGCTTAAATCTAAGTATTGTAATTCCAAGTTTCCAATTGCCATTATTTCTCCATGCATTGGATAACTTTCTTTCCTAAAAGGATGGTATGGTATTTCATCTTCCATTATTGTTTTAAATTTCTGTGAATTAAATATTTAAAAAATAATTAATCTAGATCATGCGTTGTTAAATAGTTCCTATAGATTTCACTTATTACATGCATAAAATCTGAATCTTCAATTAAATTTCCTTCTTCTTTTATTATCATTGAAGAATCTTGAAGAGCTAAAAAAATAATTTATTCTTTTATATATAAAAAGGAAGTTGATAGAAAAATATATCATTTTTACATATATATACATTTTGATATATACATTTTTTAGATCGTCGATTTTGCCGTGTTTTAAACTTATTATTAGCATTTTTTTTTATTGATTCTCCATTTATGCTTTTATCAATTTCTTCCATTTTTTTCTTTTCCATCTATTAAATATTTAATAATTATATGAAAAAAATTATAATACATTTTTTTTTAAAACTATGAAAGAAGTTTAATAAATATTTGATTACCCATTCATCCAACAATGCCAGTTCAGCGAATTTTCGACGACGCAGCTCTACAATTTCTTCATGTTTTAAAGTAATTCTAACTTAATCGATTAAATATATTATTTAATGTTAGATATTAATCAATATGGTATGAATATAGGAATAAATTATAATACATTTTAAATTCCTGTAGTATTAATGATGCTCCTTCATCACATATTCTATTCCCAAGTAAAACTAAGCATTTTAAAGATCTGTAATTGCAAAAAAACTTAGATTTTAATTGTAATTGTAAGTTGTGTTTGATAAATAATAAAATATTTTTGTTTCTTTTACAGATGTTATTTAAATGGATATTGAATAATGAACAACGAACGAAAAGAATAGATTGCGATATAGTACTATCATATTATTATATTTATTATATTATATAATATTTTGATTGCTGCATCAATATTTATATATGTATAATAAAGCAAAATTATAATTACAAGAATAACAATTTTTATAATTGATCATAAACAATTTAACAGCTTAAAAAGGTAAGTAACAGGTAAATATATCATAGATAATTTTTGTCTTTAAAATTGCACTTTCCTTCAAATTATGCATTTTTGATAAAAATATTCTCAATATATTAGAAGTCTGATTGCAAAATTTATGCAATCGGATTTCCCTTAGTGCCATCTCTTCTAGATTTATATTCTTCTGTTACAAAATTCAAAATATGGACAAAACTCCTTCTATTGTCCAAATTTTAATTTCAATCAGAAGCAAATATATTTCAACAAGAGATGGCACATGAAATTTGTAAAAAATTGTTTAATTCAGTTTTGATTAAAATTACAGATAAAATTTTTGGCCTCAAATACGATTTTGTATCAAGAGAATATAAGTTGACAAGAGATAGCTCAAGAAATTTTTTCAAGAATTTTACTTGAAGAAATTAAACACATTTTTATAAATATCTAAGTCAAAATGTAGCTAAATTAATTAATAATTAGAAAATATGTAATTTTAATTGTAAATTATATTCAATAAACATCATTTTTCAATAAATGAATGAGTTCCTTATTTAAAAAACCTTTATTCCTATATTCCTTTTAGTCTTTTATTCCTATATTCCTTCTAGTCCTTTATTCCTATATTCCTTCTAGTCCTTTATTCCTATATTCCTTCTAGTCCTTAGATTTAAGTAAATTATTAAAAAATGATTTTTGAAAACATTGAAGCTTCATAAAAGAAGTATGTAAAAGGTAAGTATTAAGTAAGTATAAGGTAAGTGTAAGGTAAGTATAATTTTGTTAAAAAGTCAAAAAAATCATCAAATTCATGGAATTATTAAAATTCAATCGAATATCAAAATAGAATAAAAGTTTCGGTTTGTTTTCAAACATTAGTCTGTTTATTTACATTTACAATGTTTATTTACATTCTCGGTTTGTTTATTTACATTTTACAATGTTTATTTACAAAATTTTTCGAAAATTTGATGAATTCTGGGCCCGGGAGTTGAAATTTCGGTTTGTTTACAAACATTGGTCTGTTTATTTACATTTTCAATGTTTATTTACATTCTCGGTTTGTTTATTTACATTTTTCAATGTTTATTTACAAAATTTTTCGAAAATTTGATGAATTTCAGGCCTGGGAATTGAAATTTCGGTTTGTTTACAAACTTTGCAATGTTTATTTACATTTTTCAATGTTTATTTACATTCTCGGTTTGTTTATTTACATTTTTCAATGTTTATTTTCATTTTTCAATGTTTATTTACATTCTCGGTTTGTTTATTTACATTTTTCAATGTTTATTTACATTCTAGGTTTGTTTATTTACATTTTCCAATGTTTATTTACATTTTTCAATGTTTATTTTCATTTTTCAATGTTTATTTTCATTTTTCAATGTTTATTTTCATTCTCGGTTTGTTTATTTTCATTTTTCAATGTTTATTTACATTCTCGGTTTGTTTATTTTCATTTTTCAATGTTTATTTACATTCTCGGTTTGTTTATTTACATTTTTCAATGTTTATTTACATTTTTCAATGTTTATTTACATTCTGCAATGTTTATTTACAAAAATTTTCGAAAATTTGATGAATTCTGGGCCCGGGAATTGAAATTTCGGTTTGTTTACAAACTTTGGAATGTTTATTTACATTTTCAATGTTTATTTACATTCTGGGTTTGTTTATTTACATTCTGCAATGTTTATTTACAAAAATTTTCGAAAATTTAAAGAATTCTGGACCTGGGAGTTAAAATTTCGGTTTGTTTATAAACATTGGTCTGTTTATTTACATTTTGCAATGTTTATTTACATTCTGGGTTTGTTTATTTACATTCTGCAATGTTTATTTACAAAAATTTTCGAAAATTTAAAGAATTCTGGACCTGGGAATTAAAATTTCGGTTTGTTTATAAACATTGGTCTGTTTATTTACATTTTCAATGTTTATTTACATTCTCGGTTTGTTTATTTACATTTTGCAATGTTTATATACAAAAATTTTCGAAAATTTTCAAATATTTGTAAAATACTTACCTTTACTTACCTTTATATACTTACCTTATTTTAAAGATGATTGTTTAGCATTTTTTTTAACATTTTTTTAAACATTTTACTTAAATCTAATTATAAAATATAATATATTTACCTGTTTTATACTTATCTTATAAACATGACTTTTCAGCATAGAATAAAAAGTTTTGGCCAAAAATTCGATTTTTTAACAGGAGAATATAAGTTGATAGGAGGTCGATCAAGATTTTCAACAATTCTTGGAAATGATGTCAAAAAATTGGAAAATTTTAGGAATTTTGGGAAAATAAATAAAAACTACGGTTTGTTCACAAAAATTAGTGACTTTATTTATATTGTATATTTTTTACATTTTTTACATTTATATTTACATTTATATTTATTTACATTTTTAATATCGACTTACAAAAATATTCGATAGTTTTAAAAAATTATTTGTAAAATACTTCTGCTTGCCTTGATACTTGCTTCCATTTTGAAGATGATTTTCCTGCAACAAAAAATTTTTTAAACATTTTATTCAAATCTAATAATTATAGAATATAATACTTACCTATTTTATACTTATTCCTTATACTTACTACTTAAAAAATGTATCTTTTAAAAAGTATTAAGATATATATAGCAAAAAACTTATAGTTTAAAAAATAATTAAATTTAATTAAATATCTTTTAAACTAATGGTTTTTCACCATAAATGGTCCTATACATTTTTATAGAGAATGTCAAGATGCATCGACTAGTGTATTAAAAAGTATATAATGCTATTTAAAAGAACAAAGTTGGACTCGATAAGTTTTTTATGAGTTCATTTATAAAAAAATTGGGGACACCAAAAGATAGCCCTTTCAAAATCATTCAACTTTTGTTCCAAGCATTTTTTAATATTATGAAGAATAAACGAGATATTCAGTGAAAAAGATTAATATCGAAATTCCTTGATGGAAGAAAAATTTTTGTCCAAAAATTCGATTTTGTATTAGGAGAACATGATATGATAGGAGGTCGATCGAAGAATTTTTCCAAGAAATGACGTCAAATTCTCGGAATCTCTAAATTTTTTGGAAATGACGTCAAATTTTTGGAAATTTCCAAATGAATGAATGAAACTTTTAGCCAGAAATTCGATTTTGTATTAGGAGAACATAACTTAAAAGGAGTTTTTTTTACAATTATCATATACGTACCGTATTTTTTGACCATTTTTCTTAACGTTACCATTTTTTTTTCACAATTTAAATAAATTTAGATGAAAGCTGTCATTTAGTCCGTTTCTTATCATTTTTTTTTAATTTTTGAAGAATTCAAGACTTCACTGAGCACTGCATTTTTATTATTTGAAATATCTCGATTGTTTTCAATAACCCATACGTAATATATTATACTGGGTATGTAGTATTATCTGATGTATCATGCTTGTTGTTGGAAATATTAAAAAATGTTTCAAATAAAAGTTAAAGGATTTCGAGGGGGGTACATCCTGCTATTATTTATTTTTTTATATATAGAAGCGTAAAGGATTTATTGGAGTGAATATTGCTTTTTCAAATAGAAGTATACACTTTTTAATACACTAGCCGATGCATCCTGGCATTCTTTATAAAAAAGTATTAAGACATATATAGCAAAAAACTTATAGTTTAAAAAATAATTAAATTTAATTAAATATCTTTTAAACTAATAGTTTTTCACCATAAATGGTCCTATACATTTTTATAGAGAATGTCAAGATGCATCGATTAGTGCATTAAAAAGTATATAATGCTATTTAAAAGAACAAAATTGGACTCGATAAGTTTTTTATGAGTTCATTTATAAAAAAATTGGGGGCACCAAAAGATAGCCCTTTCAAAATCATTTAACTTTTGTTCCAAGCATTTTTTGATATTATGAAGAATAAACGAGATATTCAGCGAAAAAGATTAATATCGAAATTCCTTGATGGAAGAAAAATTTTTGTCCAAAAATTCGATTTTGTATTAGGAGAACATGATATGATAGGAGATCGATCGAAAAATTTTTCCAGGAATTTTGTTAATTCTTGGAAATGACATCAAAATTTTTTAAAATAGGATTTCTTAGAATTTCTAAACACATATTAAACATATTATGATAAATTATATCAAGATATAACTTAATCAATTAATAATTAGAAAATGTGTAATATTAATTGTAAATTATGTTTAATAAATATTATGTTTCAATAAATGAATGGGTTTTTTATTTAAAAAATTTTTTCCTTCCTATTTCTTCCTACATTCTTTCTAATCCTTTAGATTTAAGTAAATTATTAAAAAATGATTTCTGAAAATATTAAAACTTCATAAGTATGTAAAAAGTAAGTATAAGATATGTATTGTTTTCTTTTTTAATTATAGTTTTCTGTTAAAAAATGGAAAATTTAAATAAATTTTATTAAAAGAATGTAAACTGAATAGAAATGGCTCGAGAAATGATTGTTAAAAGCAGGATAAGGTAGAATAAGAATTGATTGTAATTGCTATCTTTTGATTTGTAAAAAAGAACTAAGGTAAGTAAGAATCGACTGTTATTGCCATCTTTTGACTGGCATTACAAGATAAGATAGAGCAAGAATTGACTTTTACTGTCATCTCTTCATTGCTAAAAACAATATAAGATAGTTTAACAATTGACTGTTATTGCCATCTCTTGATTAAAAACAAATAAGATAAAGTAAAAATTGAATATTAACGTCATTTCTTTTTTGAGAAATATTTTTGATATTAAGAAATGATATTGATGGTTAATTTTTATTCTATTTCTATTCTTTTTCTAATATTTATTATATATGTTTTATATGTGATATTCTATAGAAGTTTATTTTTTACATATATAAAAAGATATATCTATATTTTTAATATATGAAATTTTTCTATATATTTTATACATAAAGATATATACTTTATACATAAATTTACTTTTTTTCTAATATATTTTTTATCATGAAATTTTTGTAAAGAATTATCATTAAAGATTGTGAAAAAGAGGAATGCTGGGACGAAATGTGGAAATGTGAAATAACTATAAATATATGTACAAATATATATAAAATATATAAAATATATAATGTATATAAAATATATAATGTTGATGAATTTACCTGTTTGTTCGAAGCATATTTCCTATATGACCTGCTCCATTTCTCGTTATATGATTATGTGCCAAATTTAAAATAGTTAATTTAGGATTATCCGGAGGATCATGGTATTCTAATTCTTTTGCAATTTTCTTTATTCCATTATCAGTTATTTCACAAAGTCTCAAAGACAGATACTTCAAACTAAATATTTTATCTATTAAATTATTTATTAAAACGATCTTACGCGTAACTTTATTACTGACCTACCTTCCTCCAGGTGTGCAGAGCAAATGATAATTTTCTTGCGTATTCGGATTCATATCTAAATTTAAATCCTTGATGCATTTTATATTCATTATCATTTCCGCAATTTGCATGATACCGAATGCGTTTATTTTACAGTTTGGTAATCTTGGAAGATATTAGATCACGATAAAAATGTTTATTTTTTTTTTAAGCAACGAAAAAGAAGTTGATCATTTGATTTACTTTAATACTGTGATGGTATTATACTTTTGCATCGTAGAATTCAGTGCATCTAATATACAGATCGATATCTCGCGCCGTATGGCAAAAAAAAAAAAAAAAATTAGATCAAATGATACTGATGATATTATCATAATATTATTAATAAGAAATTTTTATAAGATACTTATCTTTGCTTTCAATTTTTATCGGAGATACGAATTTCTTGTTCGTATACGTTAAATGAAATATAGGAGATTCATCATCTTCGATTCTTAAAATAAAAATTCTCAATCAAAATTATTGATAAATTTCGAATCATTTAGAAATGATTACTTCTCCGAAATTGTTGATATGCTGGATATACGATAATCCATGTTTTTCTGAAATTTGAACGAAATTTTTTTGTTTAAAAAAATATAATTTCCTTTAGAAAACTGATTAAGAAAACTCACTACAACTCTTGGCAAGGGATAAACGTTATATTCATCTGCATACTTCAAAAATTCAGAAGTAAAATTTTCGTTCAAATTCTTCATTGTATCACCTAAATTAGATTAAATCGTATCTCGTATCACTCGTTTTCACTAAGAAAATAATATTCAAAAGAATATTACCTCCTATCGATGATATTTTATCTCTAGCCGAAACAGCGTATTTGCTTTTCCTATCTACCATGATTTTCCTTCATAAAATTCTCCCTTTGACAACTTTAATCCGCGAGGTTAAAACGAATTGTCACAATCTATCGATCAATTGAACATCGAATTTAATTCTTAAATAATAATTCTTAAGTAATTTATTCCTACTCCTTCGAAAAAATTATTTTATTTTAATACATTGGGATATGTGTAGCACAAATGTTTATTCTTATTCTTCGAAACGATAGAAGCAACGAAACCTAATACCAGCGATAAATCCATAAATGCTGGCGCCTCTAAGGAATACCCTCTCTCGTAAACCATCCACCCCATGGTGGTTGTAATCCGAAGCCGAAAGAACAACATCATCCCCAGTTGAATGAAACGAGGAAAAGCTTATGGAAAATGGAAAGTATCGATCGATTTCTAGGCTACGTAATGGAGAGGGATTCTGACATCATGCTCAATAGTTTGCATCAGGATTTTATTGGGATTAGGTTCGAGGTTTTAATTAAAATGACTATCGTGGAATATACTTTATTACGTTCACGATATTTTTACCATTGTTATTAATTAAATTTTCCATTGTAATTTAATTAAATTACAAGTCAATGAGATAATAATTTTTTTTCGTAATTTAAGAAAATTTACTCTTACTTTCTTCTTCTTTTTCTTTTTTTTCTTCTTCTTCTTCTTCTTGTTTATCAACACCTCGTTTATTACTATAACTTTCGCGCTATCCTTCCACCTTTTCACGTTACAACCAATTATCGGTAATCGACAAAAACTTAGCATCGAGATTCAACCACGTCTCGTCATCAAGTCTTCCGTCCACGTTCGCCACGCGTTATAGCGGTGATCTCGAGCGGTTATAGCTTCAGTTCAGCTCGGCGCTTTGACCGCGCAGCGTCGCGTGTAGCGAAGCGGATCGTCGAGCGCGCTTTGCCTTTTGACAGGAGAAAACGCTCTCTCCCGACCGTGCCCCGATATTTGGCCACGAATAATTTGAAATTTGCCAATCAAAAAACGAAGTTATTCCATAAAATACTCGGACGAGTGGAAAACGGATTCTCGCTATTTCGTGGTTTCTTTTGCGTTGCACGAGGAAAACACGAGGTGGGTGAAAAATTTATTTTCGAATCGTTCGCGTGCCTTTTCTTCTTCTTTTTTTTTTTTTTCGTTCGTTCGATAACGACGCAGAGAGAGAGAGAGAGAGAGAGAGAGAGAGAGAGAGAGAGAGAGAGAATAGAAGGCGAGTAAGTCAAAAGTGGATGGGTATACGTGTCCCCTTCGATGATCGAATATTTATTTCCTTCTGCTCTCCGGTGGAGAGCAGAATTATCGGGAGAGGCGAACAATAGAACGAGCAGTCCTTTGCGATGCAAAACAGGCAACCCCATTGATAGCCGGATCTCGAATGACACACGCGATCCTTTAATGCCCGATGCAATTGACTTTGCTTTGAGCGCGAAACGCTTTCGAGCTTGGCCTTGGTGCAAATACTTCGAAATCGTCCCTCGAAAAAAAGATTCGATAGATTTCAAATCTTTGGAAATTCGACGATTCAGCATTCGTAAAAATTGTTCGCCCATGTTTCTTCCAACGAACGAAATTTCAACGAACTTCGATTCTCGGCCGGAAGCCGCGGAGGAGGATCGTTTCTTGAAAGAAGAATTACTCTTCCCCCTCGAATTTTACGCGAGAAAATTCGCGGTGGTAAAATCGTCGACTTTTCCCTCCTTCTCTCTTTTTTCCCGCCGCACACGTTGGTGAACCAACGCGCGCCAATTGCATTAATTTACGACTGTTTACATCACCGGGGCATTGGGGTGTGCCACCAAAAAGCCACCACCACCACCACCGCCACCCAATGAATTATGCATTTCGCGGGATGGTTTCGACTCTCTTTCTTCTCCCTTTCGCTCGATCACAATCAACAAGAAAGAACGCAAGAAACGCCCGCACACGGCACAACTTTCGCTTCGCGACACCACGAAATCGTTCATCCTATATCCGTTTTACAAAGGAACTCCAAGCAAATTCGAGACTTTATATATATATATATATCTTTTTAATACGTTTCTAACTCTCTCTCTCTCTCTCGCTCTCTTGAATTTATTTTGAACCACGATAGACCATGGTTAAATTGGAACGAATTACGTTTAAACGAAAGCGACAGCAGAACGATTAATTAATTTATTTCGCTGGGACGTTCCTTTTTTTTTCCCCCTGTCTGCTCCCCGTTTCGCGACTTCTTCTTTTAAATCAACGAGACAGCAGGAAAAAACGCGTGAAACGAGATAGTAAGAGGAGTCGCGTAATCAAACGCGTACTAATCCGCATAATCTTTCCGCAAAATTGCGGAATTCTTCGAATTCTCTTCTCTTTCCTCTCTTTTCCTCGGCGAGAGAGAGGGAGAGAGAGAGAGGAAAAAGAAGAAAAAAATTGTCACGAATTTCGTTTCGTTCGTTGGTATTTCGCTCACGATTAAAAAACTCGGCGACGCCCCCACCATCTCCGTCGAGTGTACCCGGTCCGCGAGGCCGTAAACCTCGAAACTCGAAGATCTGGTTACGATCTGGTAAACCACGACGATTCTGGCCCATGCCACGACCGTGTATCCCCAACCGTGGTGCGAACGCCTATGACAGTTATTACGTGGCGAACGAACGCGGTCCGCCAAGGTATTTCTACGATGTAATAACGCCTCCTCCGAGGCGGGGACACGCTCTCTCGCGAAAACGCTCTCCCTCGCTCGCCTTTCGCCTCCACTTGATAAAACGTTCAATTTTATCGCGAATCGGGAGAGAAGATAGAACCCCCCCCTTCGTTTGCCTCGCCTCGTATTTACAAAATCTTCCATCTCGAGAACTAAAAAAAAAAAAGAAAAAAAAATACTAGGATATTTGATCGAAGAGTTGACAAATTTTGAGTTAAAATTGTACGTACCTTAAACCTGATTGGAATCACGTAACGCGTTCTTAATTGTTCCCGACGATTTTTCAATCGTAATTTTTAAAAAAGAGAAGGAAAAAAGAGAGAGATTCACGGGGAAAAAATTCTCTCTACAACACCGTTTTCCAATACAATACGATTTCACGTACGATATCGGAATCTATTATTGAACTGTCGTTAAAGAAAACTACATTCCTCGGTTAATTATTAATCACAGGAAATTAGAAAGCGAGGAGGGAGTGTCAAGTCGCGGAAAAAGTTGTATCGAATATTATTGTTGGAGAATTGTTGGGAGAGGCTCGAGGGGAAGGGGGCTCGTTACCGAATCCGTCTTCCCTGTCACGATATGAATCGTAGGACAAATATGGTCGAAGGTATAAAGTATGCTCGGCGTATAAACCGTGGTCTAGCCATTAAAGTTTCCCAATAAGGAGGAGGGTTTTACGCACGCACGTTAAAGAACACAGAACGAGCCGGCCGGCCAGACAGAATCGAGGCTCCTCCTCGCGTGGGAAGCGATAGTATTTCGATATCACCCTCGCGAGCCTCGTGTGGACACGCGTGTCCCGACAACGCTTGTACGTACGTATGCGCGCTTATTCGAGCCGGCTTCTGTGTGTACACAGAGGAGAGATGCGTCATCAATATGTAGAGGAGAGGGAGACACACGATTCCGTCCAACGTATACGCGTCTTTAAAACGCGCGGCTCGAAAATTGCGTTTCACGCGCCTACCAATAGTCTTTTTCCAGACGACTTGTTCCGACGAGAGTAACGCGTATAGAATATCGGAAGGCGTTGGAGATTCGAAGATTTCTTTCGAAATAAATTTGTACGTACGAAAGTACTTTCGAATATATTATTATTATTCCATTATTATTTCACTATTCTGAAAACTCGATGACTTCAATAACGAATAAAATAACGAAACGATGGTATTTATTTTCATTCGTTAAAATTCTTCTCCGATATTTTTCCAAAGATCTTCCACTCGATTTTCGATCTTTCCCCTGTAATGGAAATAGAGCGACGAGACGAGAGAGAGACTAATTGCAAACGCTACCCTTGCATCTCTTTGCACACGCTTCAAAGCGTGAATCGAATCGCGTCTTCGTACGCGAGCTCGCTTTGAACTGGCAGGCTTGACTACATTACGGCCACGCTCGCCTGTAAATTCACCTCTTCTTGCTTTTTCTTCTTCTTTTTCTTTTTTTCCCCTTCTCTCCCCCTCGAGAGGAGGAGGCCTCTCCTCCGGCTGCTTTTTCCCCCAGTACGTAGTACCTAACGGAGGAATGCGGGCGA